CATGTATATGTAATAAGTGTTTTGGTACATTGTATTACATTTTACATATAGTCTAAACCCAGTATGTACATGTAATTTATTTTATACATAATATTTTTAATTTTACAGCTATTTTGTTATATGTTGGATATTGTGAAAAAAAAAGAAAGTTTTTTGCTACCCTAGAAAAGATTAAACCTCAAAATTCACCACTGAAAACAAAAAAATACAGTGTTTGCTGTGTTAAATCCGGTTAAAAACAGGAGCTGTAACTTTTTCCATTTTTTCTCAAGGTCCAACAGAAAACAAAATAGCTATACAGTCCCCTCCAACTGGTTTACGTAATTACTCAAGTTCTGCAGCGGTACCAGGGCTTTTGCTATAGGCAGAAATGTTGTCACACTACTGTTGACTGTCTCATCATACACTCCTCAATCTTTCCAAGCATGAAGATTCATACATTGACCGATTCTGACAGAGGAAGAATCATTGGAATGCACGAGGCTGGGGCTACAGCAACAAAGATAGCTACACATGTTGGTCACCCCAGAACAACTGTTTATACAGTCATTTTGGCATTCAAAAAGCATCACAAATTATCAGCATTGAAAGCTCCTGGACAAAAGCCAAAATTTTCCAAAGACAATATTGAAGAACTTAAACAGATACTTGAACGAGATCAATGAGCTCCTCTCTGCCAAATCATGAATCAATTGACAATCAAAGCCAGCATAACCACAGTCCGGAAGGAGATACATAAACTTGGCTTTCTCGTATTGCACAACACAAGCCTTTTCTGAACAAGAAACAGATGAACAAATGGCTCGATTTTGCTAAGATTCATCAAGACTGGACTGTTGAGGATTGGAAGAAAGTCATTTGGACAGATGAATCTTCCTTTGAGATAGGCAAGAATTTCCGACAGATCCGAGTTTGGCAACAAGTTGCGGAAGAATACAACAGTCAATGTCTAGCTCCAACTTTCCAAAGTGGAAGGACATCAGTCATGATCTGGGGGGCATTTGTGGGATCTTGGAAGCTTAATATGGTAGTAATGGAGCCAAAGAAATGCACTGGTCCCAACTTTGTGGAACAGGTTTGCACACAAAGCTTACAAAACTTCCTCGACTCTTACCCCAATGCCGAACATCTTGTATTGATGGAAGATGGTGCCCCGGTCCATCGATGCTTAGTCTCAAAAGCCTGGAGGATTGATCATTCAATTCATAAGCACAAATGGCCAGCAAACAACCCAGATCTCAATCCAATCAAAAATGAATGGGCTCTGATGAAAGACGCTGTATCTACCAAACATACAATAACAAATATTGATCAAATGAAGAAGGCATTACAATCTGAATGGGACAAAATTCCAGAAAGCAAGCTTAATGAGCTTGTAGCTTCGATGCCAGATCACATTTGAGCTGTGCTTCAAGCACATGGTGGTCACACTTGATGGTGAATGAAATTGTTAGTCGTCCTCGATCTAAATCAATCCACTGCATGTGTACCATATCTCTTTTTGACTTGCTCTCCTCGTTCTTTTGATACAGATTCACCACTCTCACTTATTTAAACAATTGATCATATTACTGGTCACTACACTTGTTCATCAACAGGGCGTGTTTTTTCTATTTGCATGGTCATTTCAATTCTTCCTCTTCAGACACCTGCATACTTGATTCACTTGTATTTATCTTATATGCCTACATAGCTATTTTTAATCATAATCCCTTGTTCATCGGACGTTTTGTAAAAAAAACCATTCAGAACCCAGTCATTTAACATTATCAAAGTGAAGTTGAGGAAATGGGAAATAGACAAAATGAAAAACACACTCCAAAGTGTTCAAAAGATATCAAGGCATTTTAACCAGTCTGTTAAGCTCATGTTAAAGTGAGTTGTGTAAAAAGAATTGACATTGATTGATAAATAAGTTTTTGAATCAATCAAATGTTTAGTGGAAATGTTTGAGGACCATCTCGGTGCCGGGTTTTGGTCCCAAACCCAATGGTTACAAATGCTAGGCGTGGGGACGTGTACAAGTGGGTTTTGGGTACATGTGTGTGTACTCAGGGCCGACAAAAACCTTTTCAATAACTCTGGTAAACTGCTATAACCAGTTTTTTTAATTGATCCCATAAATTGATTACCACAACGGGCAGGGGAATAATTATGGTTTACTATCAGGAGAAGAATGCCAACATGCCAAAAGCAATATGTATTTCAGATCAACAGTCCAATGATGATGAGCCCATTCTGCGTACATATGGACTTACTTGAGCTGTTCACACTGTAAACATCATTCATTATCCCGACTGAGAATAGGAAAATGATTAAGATTGTAGTTTGTCAGGAAAAGGCATATCCCTGCAAACCTAAGCCATAGCACCCACACTACATATGTGCAACAGGATGGGAAAATTTGGAGCTATCATGTACATACAGATCCCCCCAGCTATTGGCTCATCCGCATGAGTAGATCATATGTAAACCCTTCTGTAATTTTTCTCAGTTTGTCAAAAGTATCTTCAGGATTGACTAGATACACTGACTGTTAGAGCCTGTTCACTTAAGCGCTTTTTTGTGAAAAATTGCTTTCTTGAATGTCAAGAAAGCGCTTTCTGTGAAATGTGTTTGTTTTCTTAAAAACAAGCATTTTAAAAATCAGAAAATGCTTATAAAAAGTGATTTTTTGGAACATTCCGAGAATTTGCTATTAGCACATTTTTCCCTTGAGAAATCACATTTCTCATTTCTGTGATTTCTTCAAATTTGGACAAGTCCCTGTCCACCGTACGGATTGTCAATCTACAGTACAGAACCTGACCTTCCCTCATCTTCGTGCATCTTCACTCATCTTTGTTCATCTTCACTCACCTTCCCTCATCTTCACTCAACTCAACCACATCCAACCACTCAACCACTCGATATGCCAGATTCGGACGACAGCAGTGTGTATTTATATGTAGAGGTCAACAAATCAAGAATGAACAATTGAGAATGATTGAGATGAGGTTGAGAATGATTGAGATGAACAATTGAGAATGATCAAGATGAATTTGAGAACAATCAAGATGAACTTGAGAACAATCGAGATGGCCAACAAGTCAAAAATTGATATCCAATGGTCAACAAGTTGGAAATTAATTTTCGATGGTCAACTGACCAAACACTTTTCTCTCTCTCTTTTCTCTCTTTTCTCTCTTTTTTCACAAAACACGATTTTCAACGCTTTTCAAAAAAAGACTTTTCTACATGTAGAAAAGCCCTGTCCCTGAATGTGATTTCAAGAAATCACGCTTAAGTGAACGGGCTCTTTGTCTTGGTGTAATTCTATCAACCAAACTTCATGTAACACCCTTTCTGTTACTACTTAATGGATTTCCAAGTATTGCATGATTAGCTATGGAGATATATGTAGTCAATTTTTGGGACAATTTGTCAAACTGGAAAAAGTTACATGTCACATCACATGTGATCTACTTATTCAGATGAGCAGGTAACTGAACAGACCTGTGTGTACATGATAGCTAACAATTTACTCAGCTTGTTGCACATATGTAGTGTGGGTGTTATGGCTCAGGTGTACAGTGATAGTTCTTTTCATGATCAACTAAAATAATAATCATTTTTCTATTCCCACTGGGGGATAATGTATAATGCTTACAGTGTCAATTCATGGTGAAGGAATGTTCAATGACAATCTCAATCTATGTAAGAGCATATCACTCTCAATATAAATCCTGTTCAACTCAGTTTTTTAGTTGAATCTATCAATTGTGAATTCACTATCTACTGATGTGAAGGAATAGAGTCAAAAACAAGCTCCATATAGATTGAGTCATTTTTCCATCTTTCAAAACCAAATCTCTCATAATAACAAAGGGGTATACAAATGAGTCAGGATTTTGCCATACACATTTAAAAGATGAAAAAGTCCAAACTACAAAACCCATTTTTATGTATCATTATTACTGTACATGTGTACCCACTTTTTCAACATGATAGCATATATTTTGCTCAAACACTTGATGAATTATTCAAAACTTCTAAAGGAGATTGTAACCTCAAAAGTGAAGAATGTGTAATAGAAGTTAAATTAGATAAAGTTGAACCTCTAACTCTTTCTTTACTACTTTGAATAGAATGACCAGCTTCACTGATTGATGGATTATGTTGTGGCTCTGGAAATCCTTGAATGATTTGTGATGCTCTAGCCATTGATTTTTGTTTTATTTTGGAAATTCGAAGTGTTTGTGATAAAGTTAAGGAAACGTAACTAGGGTTTTATATATGAGAGGTATTTGGAGGTATGAAATATGAAAATTAGTTTGAATTTCGTGTTTTTTGCTTGTTATCATAATCTTGTGTGATTTAGCATTGGAAAAGGGGAACTCACATGCTTGTGATAATTGTGACGTACAAAGACGGAGGCTGGAAAAAAATCGGCACACGGTCAGTTAATCATCAAAGACTTGTATTCGAATGGCTGATTACCTACCAGTTCCATTACTAAAGCGAATTTAACATCTTGAAGTCGTTCCGGAGATAATGAAAAATACTAAAGACTTCTTTATGTTAACAGATGCGGATCTCTATCGAGCTCAAAGTTATTTATGACTCACGGAAATGATAGCTTGAGGCATGTAAATTAATACAGTACTTATGATGATCAAAGATATAAGAAGATGAATACTTTGTTCTCTTCTGTAATCGATTAGATGTGTTTTTTGATTCTCTTTTCTACTTTTGAATATCGCAGTGATCGTTTCTTTGAAATTGAAGGAGGCTCCCATTTTTCTTCTCTCAGATATGGTGAGATAGATACAAATTACTTGAATCTTGAGAAATGAAAAACCCCGTTTCAGCTATCTCTTTGCTTGAATTATCAATGTTTTCGTGGATCCACTTACTAATGCTTGTAGAAATCCAAACGAGATCCACCCTGCCATGCCGATTTTGAGATGACTGAGGAATTTGTCCTGATATTCACAAAATATCAGTTATCTTGCGTGTTTTCAGATGATTCTTTCAAAGATCAGAATTACCGTGAGTGATATGACGCCGACGAGAGGCTGTAAGGTGACAAAAGCTTTAATCAAGTCGAATCCAGCTCCATCGCGATCCAAATTATGAAGATCAATCTTGACGAGATCCAAAATGCCAACTGTCTTTCGCTGTTCCACATCAATGAAGATGAAAATGGAGAATATAACTATATTTTCCAAAAAATATCCTCAGCCTAAAGAACAAAACGGAATGAACGGAGGCAACTAAAGAAGCCTCCCATAACTTACAGATCACAGCAACTAGTGCCAGAAAGGAGAATGAGAAGTTCATAAAGCAGACAAGAAGAGGAGGAACTCGAGTCTTGACGTTTTGTGGTACACTGCGCTGCCAAGGTGGATCCCAAATGTTACAAATATGATGACCTACACTGCCCCACGCAAAACACCTTCGTCGCGTGCAATGTAGGAGTAAGGCTCTTGATCAACTTTACATCGGTTCAGTTTTTCAGGATTAAGAAATGTACCAAGCTGCCAGCCACATAAACATGAATTTTATCCCATACAATGTCAGTCTTCCACCGGGATTAGAAATATTGTGTTCCGTAAATAAAATCGCTATTTGTTGAATCATTTCGCCTGTCATGATCTTTCGGTCAGCCTTATCTTGATCTAGAAACCATGTTGAAAGTATCTTCGAAAGAGTTCTTACAAATGTAATAACCTGCTGATCCAACAGCCACACACATAGGCGGATTAGGACGTAGGCAACGGTCTGGGATAGATCAAGAAATGAGTCACGAAAGTTACACAACAAAGTTAGATCAAGAATTCGCAACAACCTTTGGTGATAGATCCTAGAGTGAACCTCTTATGTTGAATTCCAATAGCACAAATCCAAAGAGAACCTATGAACATTCTACAAACAGAATATGCTTATTAGCTGAATGGAATCAATCTTCACCAGTGCTATTGTATGTTTTGGGCCTGGTGAGCTCAATTTGAACAATGTAATGAACAGACAATCCACTCGTCACGATGATCGCAATAGAGAGTACTTGTGCCCATACTGGTCTTACTTGTGCCTGGAGTGTCAGACAAAGATGTAAAGAAGGAGAGATGTCGGTACGAAAGAAGAAATTATTCTTGTGATATATCCAGAAAACTCACCTTTGCGCTTAGAGTGAGATAATCTGCAAGAGCAGCGTAAGGGTGAGGCGAAGAACTGATATTAGTTAAAGCGGATAAGAAATCTTCAATTAATGCTTGTGACATTTGATTTGTCGGTACGATCTGATTGGAAGGAGTTTGGTCATAAAGATATTGAAGAACCTTAGCTCAGGCTCTCCTACGATGGAAAATGGATCAGCAGGTGGGATGGCAGGCCATAATTTAACCTGAAAAAGTCTAACCTTGAATCGATGTATTTCTGATCCAGATTCCTTTGGGTCTTGGAGTTGGGGAGTGAGCAGCGGCGTACATTTTAGCACGCCTTAAGCAGTAAAGGGGGACCCACTCTAATTTCCCATCAACCTGAGATACTCTGTGTGGTTGTTATATGTTCGCTATCAGATGAACTTGCGATATCCATTCTCCGCTTATCATCTTGCATCAGATTCAAACTTAAAGTACCGCGCAACTCTGGGCGCACTGGTATTCGTGATGTCGGATTACAGAGTTCTAACTTCTATCCAGATAGGTCCAGATTACTCCAGATGTCAAAACTTCACTTGTTTCTCTTGATGTGCTCATAGATATCCCATCTTATCGCATACATACATCCGCAACGGCTTCTAACAAAAGCTGTTTGAAGCTCTCTGAAGTCCTATTTGTTTGGATCAGACATTTGGGCTTTATATCACTTTTCAACCGGTCCGTGGCTTCAGCGTTGTTCCATACGGAGTATCTCGAACATCGAGTGCTCAAGCCTCACGTGGTGTGAAAATCATTGCGGGTTCGTTCAAGAACCGGCAACGAAGCCGTATCCATTGTCCTGACGAACAAAGTCAACATCGCAGTCGACCAGAGTCAAATTGTGCGCAAGTATAGTCAACTATTTCTTCCTCGGACATTGCTTACAAAGTCCAGACCTTGTGCACAATTCAAGAAATGTGGGTAAGTTTGCGTAAGTTGTAGCATTGGACCTGCGGTCTCCTGCGGTGAGGACTCCAAGGCGGTTCAAGTCAAGCTTTAGTTCTGTTTTTTTTCTTCTGGGAGACGTCAGCAGGACGCTGGATATCCATTCGATCAGGTTAATTACTTTTATTGTACATGATTGTTCTTCTCTGATAGGGATGATCACAATCCAAGGGATACTTCTTGCTGCCAACCAGAATGGTCGGACTTGAAGTGAACTATCAAACATGTACAACCTGGCTTTCCAACCAATGATCAAAGTACATGACAAATTTCTGAGTCCAAAATCATGCAACTGCAGATTTGCAGCAAAGGCACTCTTCACATGCTTTTTTCAAGGATTCACTGCTGTGTTAACACAACTCAAACCAAATGGCTCAAAAGTAGAGTACTCAAAGAATCTCCTGTGAGCCATACCACAAGCACAAGCCAAAAGTCAAATCCAATGAAATGTACACTACATTGTTGGGATTGCCATCTTGTTTTGCTAAAGTTTAGAAAATTCAAAGAGAAAGAAGTGAAGAATTCCTAGAATCTTTTGTTCTATATAGTGCATTTGGATCACTTGTAGGTGTGGACTTGGCTTACCTTTCATCAAACTACATGACTGAAGACTGATCATGAAATGCCAAGGATGTATCAAAGGATTACTAAACCTTGTTTCTTCCTTTTGGATGCAATCAAACCTCTAAACCCGGGGCTGGGTTCCACAGCCCCGGCCATTCAGATGATTTTCATTTCCAGAGATTGCCTGAAGGCATTTTTGTACGGATTTTACTAAAAGCAGCCCCCCCATGTGAGGTTTGACCACCCCCTTTTAGCCGGGGAAAAGAAAACTGTTACTGTATAATACAAACATGGGATGGGAAGGGGGCGGTCTGGAACAGAACCCAGGAATGCGCCTATAGAGGTCTGACAAAACCCGTGTTTCAGCTTTTGGGCTCTACACAACACACCCCTCCATGCCCCAGGTTCCAGAGCACTCCAAAAGATGCGCATGGAGTAGGGCTATCAAACAAGCCTACTCTGAGGCTCTCAACTTCTCTCTCTTGGGCGCAAAATCCATCGGCGCAAAAAAATTCCATGCCTCTGAGGCCTGATTCCAATGTTTGATTTCAAGGCTGGTTTGACCGTTACATTCAAAATTTGAATAAAGACAGACTTACGGTCCAATATTCTCCAATGGTCTCATTAGGGAGGACTGGTTCCTTGCCTCGTAGGTATCGAGTTACCTCGTCGGTTTCCCGATGGTTGTGGTTTTGAGGATGGATACTCGAGGTTCCCAGAAGGGTGTAGATACCTTGCAGATGCTTGTTCCCACGGTTTCGGGCTTCGGCCTCAGGAGGTGGTGAGTCATTGCCGCTTTCGGTTGGGCTGGGCTTCCAAAGTTCATATTCGTCTCGGAGGGAGCGTTTGGCAACAATCTCGACATCGAAGTGGTTTCGGAAGTCGGTGTCTCGACGGGCTGGGTCGAGGAGGGTAGCCACCAAAGTCTGGTGGTTAGCCTCCTCTCGAACCAAATACTTCACTAATTTGTCCTCAGCGCGTTTGCAAGCTTGTCCCCAAACACCAGGCACCTTCTGATTAGTCTGGAGGACCTTCTGAAGGGCCCATAGGACCGGAAGCACCTGTTGTTTAGTCGCTTCATTGGATTGGAAGATCTGGGTCGACGTTTCGAACATGTCTAGGATAGGCATCATGTACTCGATGGTTGCCCAATCGGCGTTGGAAATGGCAAGTTTCGCGCGTTTGGGGTCAGAGGTGTACAGGTCGAGGGACTTCTTGAGCTGAAGGGTTCGTTTGACCTGGATGATGTACAAACAAGTGACATAAGTGATGAAGATCAATGAAATCAAAATACAAAGGAAAATTACTCACAACGTAGTAAAAATAATTCCATCGTGTTGGAGGGCAGCTCAGGGGAAGGAGAAGCGGATCGTGCACACTGTTGCAAATCTTGATGAACTCCTCAAGCTCTTGAGGGCTTTTTCAAATATGGGTGTCCAAGGCGCGGATTCGGCTGACAACGGTGGAGTTTTTTTTGCGAGAAGATATGACAGCTGTAGGCGATTCTTGAGGGCGAGTTTCAGCCCTGGTGATGTCGTCTTCATGCATCGGTTGGCTGATGTTGAGGTCTTCTGGGGTGAGAACGTTTCCATCCATTTCACCACCTGGGTTTAGAGCAGCGGGGTCGTCATCGGTGTTGGTAGGAGGAAGCTCTTCGGGTTTGAAAGATAGAGGATTTTCGGCAAGGCCGGAGGTTTCAAACGCTTCAAGGTCAGCATCGGTCAACTCCCCCATGCCATCAAGAAAGTCTTTGGCGACTAGATTGATGACATGGCACATGCAACCGTGGAAGCGAGATTCAAAGGGCCAGTGAATTCCAATCGTGGCATAGCAGTCAGATAAGAGCTTCACCATCGCGCGGTTAGACAATGCGTTGTCCCCGGTGACTGAGAAGTGATTTCGCACCGCGCCAACGTGGTCCAGCGCCTTCCAGTAAACTTTGGCCAGATTTTCGCCGGTGTGTTTACCTTCCAAGGTCTGAAGGCAAAAATTCAAAGTCAAATTGTCAGTCATTTGCTTTAAAAGGACCATTCCAGTTGAACCCTTTACTAACCTTGAAAGCGAGTAGGCAACGGCAGAATTTGCCATCCGTGTTGAAGAAGAAACCGTTGATGGCCATGTATGTGTGAGAAAAATCGGCGCTGGTCCAACAATCGGTCGCGGTGGAGATGGAGCCTGGCACACGGGAGACCTTGTCAATAAGTTTCTGTTCCAATTTGAGGAACAGAGCTTCCGAGTCTGCCTTCACGGTCATGCGACCGGGCCAATGGAAGGAAGGGCAGATGGCACGCATCGCCTTCTGCATAAGCTCGCCCTCGAAGATGGAGAATGGCAGGTTCTTGCTGATAATCGCGCCAACTAGTAGGCTTCGTAGGTCTTTCTTTCGTGCAGCCGCGGCAATGGGGTCTTCCTCGGGTGCGATGCTGCCCGGAGCGTGGTTGAACCACGCTAAGGCCAATCCAACGCATCGATGTCAATGTTTGTGCAAATTCGAATTGGGACGACCAGTGACCGAAAGCACCACCCTGGCGAAAAAGAGACACTTCATTAATCAGAAAGAGTTCATTAATCATTATCAATTATGACTTTGATGTTTTGACTTACCCGCAGTGGAGGCACCTGTAACATTTGGTGTCTTCACCTTTGGTGAGGTCCGTAGAAGGAACAGGCTCCTGGTGGTTCATCAAATGTTTCAGTTTACACCTCGACTTACTTGAAGGTATATGAAATACTCACATCAAAATACAAATATACATCTGAACGATGTCGATTGGCTCTTGCCATAGAGTCTTCACCGTCTTGAGAAAAGGATTCAGGCACTACATGCGACTTGGCTGGAATGGCAGGAACGCGACCTAATGATGCCATTCAAGAGCCAGAAACCACTCGAGATGACACAGAAGAGGGTACACGAGTTAAAGAGTTCACTCGAGGGGTTGAAGGTGCTGGAGTTCCACGCCGGGCATAGGGAGATCCCGAAGTTGGTGAATTCTGAATCTGGAGATGATGTGGCATGATCCCGTTAAGCAACTTCGCAGGTCTACAATCAAGTATGAAAGACAGAAAAGCAACGTAAGTGAAGAGCAAAACAAGGAGGGATGAGAGCAGATTAGTATACGAGAGAGAGAAACAGACATAAAAAATCGAGGAGAGTTGGAAATGGGGGAAAGACAGGATGAAAAACATCAGACCGAAGCTGTTAAGGCCTCGGGCTCACTGTATGTCAAACGTCCATTCCAGCGACCTTGCCAACGACTCCATTTCCGAATTAGCCCACGCCAAACCAGGAAGCCATAACTCGAGATGGCCTCCAGAAGATTCTTGACACATCAATAGATTGATTAATGATAGTATAACTATTGTATGTCAATAGATCAATTAATGATAGTATAACTATAGTATGATTTGATAAGTAATCAGCCACAACAGTGGGTAAACCAAGGGTGATGGCCAAATGGATGGCAGGATTGGGTGTGACTAGGAGGGGAAAATCGAAATCAAAGGGTGGGCTTGATAAAGGTTCTCGATGGTGGCGCTACAAATAGATCAGTGGTATATCAAAACCGGTGTCGGAATCTTGATTCGATATCGTGAATCCTATAGCGTGGTCAATTAGTTCTCCTGCTTCCTACATAGATGTGTGTTTGGCTGAGTATTGTTGAGTCGAGACTCATCCAAACACGATTTGAGGGGGAACTGGGTAGTGGGTATGAGGGAGGGAGAGAGGGCGCACCTGAGTCCTGCGTAATCAATTTACGCAGGCAAGTGGGTATTCCGATGCGGAGTACAGCTCATACTGTCTCCGCATCGGGAGTCCCTGTACTGCGGTACCGGGGCAAACCCCGTCCTGAGTGGGTGTGAGTAGAGTACACTCAGACTCACACCTGCATCCCTGATTCAAATAACTCGGGAACTATAGGTGCTAGAAGTTTGAAAGCTAGCTTAAACAAAAGCCTTTGATCTCATGTACATTTCGCACTACTGTAGGTCTTGTAAAGATGTCATTTAGTGCCCAAAAACCTCGTCACCAAAACATTGGATGTTTTCATAACAAGCCTGGCAATCTCATTGTGGTGGAGGTTTCTTGATCTCTCACTCAAATCTCTATTTCCTGGACTAGTTTGGAGAATACAGGCGCTGTATTCAAGACCGCCCGCTCCAGAAATCTGGAGGACTGCCGGAGAGTGGATATCGTGGATATGGATCTGTGTGGATATCAATACACCTCTGTACAGGGCTGAGAAGGTCGGCTACTTTTGGAAAGCGATGTGGCGGTACCTATAGCGTGAAACACAACCAACTTCTGTACACGTTGAGATTTTGTCCATACAACATCACATCTTCAAAAGCAATTTGTTAATTTCTTTGAACAATCATTAGATCGAGGTCAATGGGATGATGAAAATGTTGCTTGAAAATGTTGCGATTGATGGGTTAAAAATTGATGAATACAATCAAAATGAATTCTTCAATGATATAAAGTGATTGACGTTTACAATTAAAAACAAGTAGCTTTCAACAAAAGCAAGCAAATGTCATCGTGATCAATTGAAAAATTTGAACCGAGGGTATTGATGCCAGATGCCAGATGTTAACCTCAAAACATACATACAGACTCGAATCACTCGATGTTTACAATAAATCATGGATTTTACTAAAAGCAGCCCCCCCATGTGAGGATTGACCGCCCCCTTTTACCTGTATTTCAATTCAAAATATTGCCTATCTCACGTAGGGGGCGGTCCAGAGAGCTGATTTCAAGTTTTTAGTGAATAAAGCGGGCGGTCTTGAATACAGCCCCTGTATTCTACGAACCAGTCGATTTGGGTGAGAGATCAAGTTGTAGTTTACAGCGTGAAGCCTGGTGTATTTACATTTCCTCCTCTCTTTTGTCAGGGTTGGGCTAATCACGATAACTTGTGCGTGAGTCGCTGGAAGGAAGCGACTTCAAGCTCTTGGGCCCTCTGGCAGGAGTTGTATCCTCCTACAAACAAAGCTCAAGTTACATTGGAGGTTTGGTAGCCTTAGTAACCATCTCTCATATTCTTACAATAGTTCTTAAAGTTGTTCTTTGTTTCTCCCCCTCCTCATACTGTGTCTCGCTGTTGATAGGCTATATCATTGAAATATGTGGTGATTTTGAAGAGAGATACTGCGCGTGAACGAGAAGCGGCTGCCGCTTAAGCACTCTTTCTGCTCGTTTGTCCCTTTGTACACCGATTGGGAACATCTCGGTCCGAATGTATTTCACTTTGAATTCACCTGAATCATAGACGGTTCCAGACCGCCCCCTTCCCTTCCCATGTTTGTATTATACAGTCATAGTTTTCTTTTCCCCGGCTAAAAGGGGGTGGTCAATCCTCACAAGGGGGGGCTGGATTTAGTAAAATCCTAAATCATAAGCACAATCTCTTCAAATTGACAAAGATTCTTTCGACCGATCGAGGGTGTGTCTTTCGGTCAAAAGAAGGTGTTTTTTCAAAGGCTTTTGTTGCTTGGATGATACAATATTTGCTGAGATTCAACATATAAGGAGAAGAGGGGGGTGTATGAGTTGGTAATGCCTGATATAATAGGCTCGAGCCTTTGATTGAGGCCAAGACATCCTTAGCGAGATGCAAGGATAAAGGATATTTGCTTTCTTTTGACAACTACAAAAGATACTAGCATTGGAGAGTATGAATAAATTCTTCCTTTGTTTGATAACTAGCATACATGCCCATGATGCTTTGGAGCTCTGAAACCCGGCTATAAATTTATCCAAGACTATACAGTGGAAGCTCGTATCCACCCCATATCCAGTGGATATCGTATCCAATTTCCGGCAATCCTCCGGTGCTCTCGCCCGCTTTATTCACTAAAAACTTGCAATCAGCTCTAATCAGCTCTCTGGACCGCCCCCTATCGTGCGACAGGCAATATTTTGAATTGAAATACAGCATAAAAGGGGGCAGTCAAACCTCACATGGGGGGGCTGCTTTTAGTAAAATCCTTTTGTACAGGTCTCACATGGAGCCCAAGTTTTGGCCCTCATTTTGCAGTCAAGAGAAACCAATAAAACCATTATTCACATAGATCTTGGTGCTCTACATCTTCCATAAAACCCATCCTCTAAAAATCAAAAATCACTGTTGTCCTTTGCAAATGAATCAAATTGATCAACATAATTTGCAGAGATATATCATGTCGAGAGTGTTATAGTACACTGATGAAAATCCTGTTTATCAAAAAGAAAGGTGAATAAAAAGGTAAAAGAAAATAAAGTACTTAATGATCATCTTCATCTTCACCAGGGCATTCTTGATTTAATTCTTCCAGAGAATCGTATTGACAACCACACCATATACAATAACTAATTATCCAGTATTGGTGAAAGTAAAAAAAAGGCAAAACATTACCCATCATGTGACCATTTTGTGATCAAGTTGAAAAAGATTGATGAAAGCACGTACAAATACTCTTGGCGTAGGTATCGTAATGTGTGTATTAAACGACTGGCAGAATCCAATGCAAGCCAGGAAGCCTTCTCTTCTCGATCAGATATATCTTCTTCTTCTTCTTCAGTTGAAACCACAGTTGTTTCAAACACATTAGGATCTTTCAATCCCTTCAACCTTTTCTCATCCGTATCCAATCCATTGACTTCATCTCGAATTTCATCAGAATAAGGATCAAGCCATAAAACGTTTTCTTCAATCCCATTACGTAAATCTAATTCTTGACAAGTTCTACGAGCTTTAGATAGATTCGATTCGATTTTACGTATATCAAATTTAGATTTCGATTTTTCAAAAAACTCTTTTTGTGCTTTGATTTCATCTTCATTTAAATCTTGGTGAGGTTTCGAAAATTGATAACGTGCTTTCGTAGGTTTTTCGGTTCCTATTCCTCCACGACCATTACGTAGTTTGATTTCGATTGGCGTGATTAATGGTTTGTGTGAAGAACTAGCTTGGTTGGGGAAGGCTTCATGTGATTGGATTTGAGAGTTTGTGGTTTTTTTCGAAAGATTTGATTCGATTGGCTCGGTTGTAGGTTGTTTACCAAGAGCTTTACCAGGTTGGAATCCCATTTTTAACATCATTTGAACTGCTTTGGAATGAGTAGTAGTTGGAATCGATGGATCTTTTGAATCAGATTCTTTGATGGATTTGAATTGATTAGCAATCAAGTCATTTCTTAATCCTTCTTCTCTTGCTTCGATTTCTTGTTCAGCTCTTGATTTCTTATATGATTTGTTTAATGATTCGATTTGTTTTCTTTTACGTTTATCTGAATATGTTAAAGTTGAAGTTGATGAAGTATTATTGATTGGAATTAAAAACTTATCTGACATGAAATCTTCTTCTTCCTCTTCTTCTTCTTTTTCTTGTTCCATTTTTAGTTTTTCTTTCGAAATCGTTTATTGTACTAATCTTGACTTGGGTCGACATCAAATCTCTTGGAATTCATCGAGCTTAAACAGTGCTGAGGAAGTGTACCGTGATCGGGTAATGTACAAGCCCGCCCCGACCATGTATTTAATGTCGGCTGCACATGCAGATTTTCTCCAACCTCTTTGCCTCCAGCTCTCTATGATCAACATCTCAACGCTTGATCGCCGTAACAAAAGTTTCTCTCGACGTGATCAAGAGTCCAATGATTCAGTCGGATGCCTCAGAATACAGACTGAGAAGACATGGGCAGTGCCAATGCGCAAAGTGCCGTCTGAGGCGGCGGCGCACTTGGACTCGGAATTGGCTCCACAGAGCTTCCGGCCAAGCTTGACTGCTTCCGGCTCTCGGGGGAGTTTCATGTTAGAGTTATGCATTGAAAGCTTGTGAGCTGTTTTGACGCATTCGGCGATTCACAGCCACCGTACTCATAAGTGATCAAAGTGAGCTGCTTGGAAAGATTTCCTAGGCGTACTGAGGTACTGAAGGCAAACGATTCAATCAGCGCATGCGAGCGAAAAAAAGGGATCAGCTTTTTGATACGTAAGAAATTAATGGATCACGTCGGTAAAGTGATGGGAAAGATGATAAAGATGCAATTCCAAATGGAGTGGATATGGAGGAAAACGGGCTGAAACAAGGGCCCAAGAGATCAGATGTGTCATGACCTATCCCTGGAAACAAATGACTCTGTCGTTTGCGTTTTTTTTCACATTGCAGTCAATGAATATTTTGTACAAGTAGGCTATCTATCTGCGCGTGATCAGGGTGGATCAGGGTTCTCTTTTGGATTTGATAAGCTTAACTAAGCCCCTCTAGCGCGTTCGCCGCGCCCTCGCAGAGGGGCTTATATCGGACTCGCGTTTCATGGCGGGAGAGCTCCAGAAATTAAGTGCCTTTATGTACTTTTCTGGAGCTCTCCTCAATTCCTCACCGTAGGATTTCTCAAGGTTCAGGTATGTTCTCCTTCATGAGGAGCTACACAACCTCGTACCACTTTCATCAACAACTGAGAGCTGTGACGCTTTCAGGAAACGTTGCGCAAATGGTTTCTTACGTCCTCCTGTAACAGCCTAAGCATGCCAGTACAGGCCTGTACTGGCCTTCACCGAGATTTGGATGTTTGGTCCTTTGCCGAAACTGCCGCCGAAATGGATAAAAGCTAAAACCCTTAAGATATTCATCAAAACCCTTGGATATCGAGGGACACTTATCCCGGTGGCGCGAGGTCCTTTATTGTTTTTACGAAGACGAAACCCTTGTGGTGTTTTGTCAAGAAATTGGTAGTTTCCGACGAAGCTGCCATTTCAGCCTCCTGGTCTGAAATAGCCAGCTACACATTGCAACAAACTGGAAATCCGTTTTGAATACCCTTACTTCCAACAAATCTTGCTGAAAGTGGTACGAGGTTGTGTAGCTTCTCATGAAGCTACACATATCTGAACCTTGAGAAATCCCACAATGAGTATTTGAGGAGAGCTCCAGAAAAGTACATAAAGGTACTTAATTTCTGGAGCTCTCCCGCCATGAAACGCGAGTCCCATTTAAGCCCCTCTCTCGACTACTCGCTCGTCCGAGAGGGGCTTAGTTAAGCTTATGGATTTGACCAGAGACAACGTTCTCTGAACTTGGAACAAAATGGATCGAGATGAGAGCACCGCTAGAAGAACTACGAAGTGCATCAAATCTGGATTGGTGAGTCTATGTATATGCTCCACCCTGCTCCACCTCTAATATATGGTGGAGATCTCCGATAGGACTACATAAAATCATCCCCCTGCGTAGCGGTTCCAGACTCCATCGCACCTCTCCGTTCCAACCCATCAATCACCTTTGTTCATCACGACCGAATCAAACCTTTTACAATACGATACCTTTCAGATTACAGCTTCAGACTCACACAAATGGCATCCAAGCTCTTACAAGTCTTTGTCTTTGCTATCATGATTAGCACGGGTCTGTGTACCATCTCAAGGCAGACTTGCAATGGTGGATATACGACTGGGACTAATTCTGATCACAGTTGAGTGATTATTCAGAGCGCGCATCGTTCCCTGATTGCTGAATGTGACAGCTTTTGAACTTATCGAGATGTTGATTGCCCGTCTGTTGTGTGTCATATCTAGTTTGTCAAGTCTTGCGAGGCGGCAACTACAAATGCCCTATGAGCTCATGTAGTCTCGGTGGTGAAAGTAAGGCAGAGAAGGGAACCTCCGTCACGCTACCAAAGACAGACCTGATGATTTCCTGTTTTTTGATACATAGTGAAGGGCTGTACGGCGGATCCCGGCCAGCATGCCCCTGCTCTTTCTGCTAGCCAGGTATTAAAATGTCAAGAATTCTACAGCACGACGGCCGATGGCCAGATACGTACGTTCAAGCACACAGCATCTTCGCTTGTCAACCCGCCTATCCTAGACCTGCTCATAAGTCTTGAGACTGAGAATGGCATCTTCCCTTAATGGTTGTGCAGATTGTCGATCCCAATACCCGTACCACTATATCGTGAAGTGTAAAACGTGGCAACCTGTCGGTAAGCTAGCGCAAACATTCAGTAAACCTCAGTCCACCCTAATCTCATCTAGCTAATTTAATCTTTGTCTGACCAATCATGTAGTCTGCAACAACTGCGAACAAGTGTAGCGAGGCTTGACGAGTTCATTGAAATAATTGATTTGCTCATCCCAACAATCTCCAAAAGAAAGATTCCATCAGTCATTCAATTTGATATCAAACCTGATTCAGCGACCCAAAGTAGCACAATAAAATCTTTAAATCCTGGGTACGGCAACCATATCTCTCTCAATGCCACCTGAGAATGTCTGCTTATCATTATGATCGTACATGCAATGCCCTGTGTACCTGCTTGCAATACCATTTTCAATAAAGGAATGCATTGTATACTGCCACAATTGATGCTTCATTGCTTGTTGTCAGCAGACGGTAAGAGCCATCTTATAATTATGATAACCAACAATGAGTGTTTGTTTGGAGATATCTTCATGTGCCACAGATACAAAATCCATTCCCTACAGTCAAACCCCCGCTAATGCATAATTTGGGGAGACAATTTTTGGTATTTATACAAATATGCATACACCACTTTGTATGCATCTAGGCCCAAATGTATATTCCAATGCATTATGATGGGTTTTTGTTGAAATTGTATAAAGTTATGCAATAGCATGTTTGTATATTTTTGTGCGGGTACAGAAGACAACATATTTTTTATAAGTAGAAAGACAATACTACTAGGCCCATTCCTCAGTTAGCTCAGCTGAAGGATTATGAGAATCACAAGATTTTTAAAGCTTCTCGGGACTTTGTATGTCCCTTGACTGTGTAAGAGAATATCCCGGTCTTCTACTAGTGGCGGAGCCCTGCCCCAATACCCCCCTTTTTCTTGGTCCTCTTGAACCAAGGGTTTGCAAGCAATGCCCAGGGCACAGGTGACTTGCAGGAAAAGAGTGAAATTTGGCACAGAAGGTCATGATTTTTAGTAGAGGAAATCTTGGATTTCCAGCTCAACAAATTCCTGATTACCTATATTTTCAAAAGGTGGTCAGGGAGAATTGCCTGCTTTCTAGGAAGAAATCCCTCTGTTCAGAAATGTTGAAAAAAACAGGCAGAAGTTTCCCTTACAATGAAAGCATTGTGCTCATAAAATTTAACCATTGAGTACAGTTGAATTGAAATTCAGGTTGACATACAGGCCACAGCCAGCTCTCAAAATGTTTCCCTCTCAAGGAAAACTTCTCCCACAATTTTGTTTTGAAATTTGTGAAGTGCAAGATATTTTGGGAAGAAGGATGCACATCTCCCTGACCTATTTTTAAACAAATAGGTAATTGAGAATTTGATGAGCTGGAAATCTATGATTGCCTCTACTAAAACTGATTACCTTCCATGTCAAATTTCACTCTTTTGCTACAAGTACCTGTGCCTTGTGCATTGCTTGCTATGTTAAACCTCTGCACAAGGGACTTGGTTAAGTTAAGGTTTATAATCTGCCTTGAATGGAGACACTCCCATTGAATTGTGGTCTTTGATGTTGTAGGAAAACTCAGTAGTTGGCAATGATGCTTCCCACTTGTCCTGTTGGTAATTCAGTATTTGTCTATTGCTTTGTTTAAGATTTCTGACGGACCTTCCAACCATGGGTGATAAGCTGTGGATGGGTGTAACTATATACCCAGCCTCTTATCTAAATCCTTGGTGATTTGAGAAATAAAAATACTTCCTGGCTCTGATGTGATTGTCTTCAGAGCACCATGCAACCACCACACAAATTTCACAATCAAGTCTAATTTGTTCACAGTGCATTTCTTACCATCCTCACTACACTAGCTTAAGTTAACCTGAATACTACTCCCTGACCTTCATTGGTTTTGACCAATCCACAATTTACTCCAACATAATGTGGTGACATATCTTTGAAGAAATTGGATTTTCTTTAGTGAGCATATCTTCACATAGCTGTTTGTCCTCAGGTGTAGAAGGTCAAATCATTAAAATAATGTCTTCATTGTTTAGCAGAAGTTCTGGCGAGTCAATAGTGTCTTCATAATTGAGACAAGCTTTGAGTGTTTATTTCAGTTTCAGATAAACCCAGGACATCAACCTCAAACCAGTGTTTGGATTTTTTTCCTCTTCATCTTAAAAAAAGTACTTTGGAGTGGATATTTCTAGGGCCCAGCCCAATGTTTCCAGGTTTTATAACTAGCCAAAAGTGACCTTGCTGTGCTGGTTTGGCTCCATATTGAGCTGTTGTGACAGGGCATCAGGTGCAGTTGTGTGTTGCCCAGGGCAGAATTTTATTCAGAAATCAAAACACACAAAAGTCTCAGCCCATCAAGCTTGGCATCAAGTCAACAGTTTTTTGGTCATGAAAGTCTGTTACTTACATCACACCATATCACAGGATTATTGGAGCATTGCTGAACCCCATACACAGTCTGCAATTCCGGGTCCATCCGCTTTACCAATCGAGTTTTTTTATTTTGCTTGAATTTCAGTCCCTGTATGTGACAAATCAGCACAACCTGTACGACATTGCACATTCTTTATTTCATAGCCCCAACACCCTTTGACATCATCAAAGCCAAGAGACCTTCACAAATAATATTGATTATAACTAAAAAATTGAAGTACAAATATATTAAAATTCATCACCTTTGAGTTTGATTTCAAAGACCAAAATCAAAGCTTATTATTTCAGCCCCAACCTCTGACAAATTACAATAGACAAGAGAACACTAGAAATAATAATTACTATAATGACAATAATAAAAGATAAAATATACACCCTTGAGTCTAGTCTCAAAGACCACAAAAATAGTCCAATAGTTGAAAAGACAATAAAAATTTCTTTGGATAATTCACTGCACTGAAAACAAACAGTGACTATTACCTTTTTACCGTCATCCAGTTCTCTATGTAATGAAATTCCTTTGAGAAGGAATGTTTCTTGTTCAAAACATTCAAATCCCTCTCATCAATACCCAGCTAAGAAATTGGAATATTGGAAGGGAGATTCCTGTTGTAAACGTGTGGATCACTAACCCAAAGGGGATAGAATCCAATAGATATAGAAACAGGTGTACATCACAAAACAAACCCCCAAGTTACCACTAATTTCAAAGGGACCACAGACCCCATATCCTACAAGGACAAACCTCAGTATGCATATGTAAGGTACAGATACTACTGCCTGGAACTGCAAGCTGACCGTCCAACAGAGATTGATATAAAAGGTGCTCCATCTCAGAACCAGAGAGAAAGGACACTTGTTTCCAAGACCACTTTTCTTTTACAGACCATTCTCTTACTCAAATCCCACCTACTTATTGTGTAAAACCCAACATAGTTCCAATTTCCATAGAATTATTTATGTGTGAAAAAAGAGTACCTAAAGGATAAGAAAGTCTTGAAGTTGTGTCTCAACCCCTGAATATTGTTCTTAAATCTCTATTAGTCCCATTGTAGATTAACTCTTACCTTCCAGCTAGTGATTTTTCTAGAAACCTTCAAAATCTCTGGCTCTTTGTGAGAACTACTTCTCACTTACTACTGCTGATCTTGGGATAGTATTTATCTTGGTCAAAAGCATTGTTCTTGCAACTCACAGTTGTCAAAATCTCTGCAGTTTTTGGACTCAGGAATCTCTCTGATATCTGTATCAAGAGGCATCACTTTGGTTTAGGACTGATGAATCCAACCCTGTGTTACCACATTAGGGCATTTTTAGTAAATTTACTTGATTTCCCTTTTATAGATGCTATCAACTTATCCTCTAACCAAGAAATTGTCATCCAAAACACATACCAAATCAAGAACTAAATTTTTCTAATGAAGTATCATCTTTGAACTCATCACTCATCAAATTTGACATCCTAACTAAGACTAATAATCTTGGAAAAATCTTCTGAGTGGTGATCTACAGCATAAATATGTGATCAACACTAGGTTTGATAATAATCTCAAAAAAATTCTTGAGGATTTAAATGGGATTGAACTTCCAAATAAATGAAGTTCTACCTACTTTGCAGTGTCATGATTTCTTCTTTGCTTCATTGGTTTTGTTGTGAACTTGATCCATCTTTTTCCACTTCTAAATATTTATTTAGTGGGTTTTTGGACCTCTTTATATCTAATTGTAAAATACATTTCTTTTCTTTTTCTATATGAAAATTGCTTTATGTATTGTTTTGAGAATTTGTTTTCAAGTGTGTGTATCACTTTTGTTTTTCATTTGAAAAGTCATCACTGAAGTGAGACTTGATCAAAATACACATTTTGGTTATATTTTTATCAGTTTAATTTCATTGGAATTTATATAACAAGAGTTATAAATGAATATCTTTGAAATTCCCACAAATTTCTTTCACCTATCCATGAATTTATCAAAAGACACTCAGTGCAAGGAACTGGGGGTGAGGTCTTGTCACAATAATGAGAATGCAAATGAGAATATTGGGAGAGGCGTAAAGCCACATTCATTGTTATTCTTTAGGTATCACAAACAAAAGAATAAAAGTGCACAAGAAGTAGGCCACATACAGAAACAACAGAAAACAGACTCAGGGCAACCCTGCATACATAAGGGAGCACAAACAACAATATGAACAAAATATTGTGACTCTAAATCAAACCAAGGAGACCACCATCAAGAAGACTGCCCACGGCGACACCAAGATTTGCAACAAGGAGACCGACACCTTGCAAGAGCGCACCAAGGCCTTGGAAAAGAGGTTCAAGGATTACAAGGAGGACATGGAGTAATGTATCAAGGAGACTGAGTGGTTGGAAGCAGGCGTTGTGACCTCCAGGTACTGGAACTACTTGTGGGCCTACGCTGGGTACGCCGCCAGGGAAACCACCTGGACCTCCGGGGAAACCACCTGGAACACTGGGGAATACATCTGGACCTCCGGGGATCACACCTGGACCTCCGGGGAATGCACCTGGAACTCCGGGGAATGCACCTGGAACTCCGTGGATCCAGCTATCAACTGGGAAGCCAAGGGGTGACCAGAGCTGTGGATTGAAATTACAGGCTGAGAAGAATTGCTGAATTTCAACATGCATGCTGATTGCCACACCAATGATTGATTGCACCAAAACCGATAGAACGGCAAAGGAGGCTGATGTTGGAAAAATGGTAATTTAGAATCCGACGTGAGCTCATGTGGTTCAAGGAGGAAAGCAGGACGGGTACTTACATTGGAAGGCACCAATATTACCAGTACATTGAGTGGTGATAATTGTGATCATACTTTGGATTTGGATGATCATTGGGGCAAAAGTGGAGATGAACTAGAAATAAGATGGGTTAGCCAACAGCTGCACTCCCAAAGCGAAATGAAGGGAAAACTTACCACTTGAGGATTTCCCTGGAAGGAGCATCCGCCTTGTAAAGTGGAGAACAGAGTTGAAAGACTGGTTACCATGATTTGGAACTGAAGTAAGATGGTTTGCGGGTCTATGCCACCGTTCCAGATGTTGACGGTGTTGGATGTGATTACAGTGTAGCTTTGAACAGTTGAAAAGAAGGTGTTCATTGGTGGTAGACCTTGGCCGCCGTGGAAGACAACCGGGGCATTCCAGCATGAAGTTGGCGGAGGTGGAGGAAGACCACCACAACCACCGAAACACTTCATCTGGAGATCGTCTCTATGGAAGTATAAGTGATAGTCAGTGACATAGCTCTACTGAGCCAGAAAGATTCAAACTGACTTATGGCCTGCCTGTTCTTCACCGCGAACGCTCAATCGAGCAACTGTGTCGGTTCTCGCCCTAAAGATAGACAAAGTCAGCATCAACTCATGAAACGGAATCCAAATGCATGACTTACAAATGACGCGAACTGGCAGCAGCGGATGCTAAGAAAGGTTCAAATAGGATAAGACATCAGTTTAGTCTGAAAGAGAATGTAGACGATAAAAGAGGGGCGCACCAGCAAGCACAAAGCCAAGATAAGCGAAGGAAATATGCATCTTTGTTGGTTCAGGATTAATGAGTGAGGGATGAAGGGATCGGAAAAATTACTACGATCAAAAGAAATAATATTAGGTCTATAGCGTGAGGAGCTATTGAGAAAAGAAAGGTAGGTATTTACCAGATGCGATTGGAAACCAAAAGGATAGGCAAAAGGCTAGTGGTGAAGAGCGGATGAGGGATGAAACAGGCTGCTTCTGCTGACCCTTTTATACTCGAGTTGCTTCTGCTAGATCTCATCATCACGCTTGACACAGAAGTTCTCATCATGAACTGCTGTTGGATTTGATATAAAGCACCAAAAAGAACATCAAGAATTATGGCAGCTGCTCGTTTTTGAATCTTTTCAAATGGATTTGAAAAAGAAAGGACACCATAGTCTACAATAACAAATTATCTCATTCGAGTTCAGGAATAGGTTCACGGAACGTTGACTAGATGGCACTCAGTTTTGGGGCGTGCCTCATAGACAGCTTGGTGTACGCGAAGCAGTGGCGCGAACAGAGGTGGCATTGCGGTGTGGGAACTAAAAAGACGAGAACCGAGCGAAAAACAAATCAGCTCCCATGGGGAGGACACAGGCCAACACACAAAAACCACCTCCTAACAAACAAAAGAGACATAGAACAGAAAAGCAGAGAAGAAAAAATATCGTATGAGGAGAAAACCGAGTAAAGGTCTGAAACTTATAAGAAATAAAAAAACCTTCAGAGTTTAAATGGAACATCCAAAAAGTCAAAGATTTGACTGAAATAAAATCCCTTTCCGTGAATTTTTGGATCAAAAAAAGTACACTTGCCTTCACCTCCCAATCGAAATGAAGTATTACATCATTTGAACCTATCATATCTTTTCTGAGTCTATCTTCCCTCAACAATGTACTCAAGTATGTCAGAAAATTTACACCGTGCCTGCCACCTTGGAATTATTGTAATAATTCGACATTTCCTGAATCTTACTGTGTGAGAAGCCATGTTGCATTTGCAACATGGTATCGAAATCATAAGTTGATCTAGTAAACTTTTTCTCCCTTTTCCACAAATTTTATCTACCATTTCACATCCGTGTTTTTAATTATTGATTTGCATGATATCTCAGATCAAGCCAGTTGTGATATGCAAAACGCAAGGCTTTGCTTCTTAAACAGCTTGGGTTTGATTTAAGCCACACTTGGACTGGGAATCAGGTTTGATGGATCTCAGAACTATTGTAGAGCCTTACTTTCTGTATTACTCTAACATTGCACACATTCAATGCTGGGCTCGGATTGAATCCTTCAAACTACCATTGACTCTACCCTTCAATGCTCAACATCACTAATCCTGATGACTGTTTCAAGAGTCTCTCCCAATGTGATCAAGAGTTCAATTCAGGGTACTCCGACATTCAAAACAAAAAATCTTGAGGTTAATGAACTCGTGTCGACTTCTGTGCGATGTTGAACCACACTTTCAAAAAAATATTCAACACTTCAAGAATTGCGCCTTGTCCGTTCATTATTGTCTTCCTAAAAACTTGGCTACGCTTGCGCCGCTGACCCTTGCGCCTACGCGTGGCAAAGCGTAAAGTGAGGGGAAGAAGGGTAAAGACCCTGTTGTAACGAGACTCAGAGTACCGTAGGGAAGACTCCGAAAAGGGATCGAAAAGGGATTAGTAACTCTCCATTTGCTCTCTAGTAGAAGATCTCCGAAAGGACCACACATATAAATCCTATTCCTTACCCTCGTATTATCTGCCCTGTGACGCCTTCCATTTCCAACTCATCTTTCACCTTTGTTCATAACAATCCAATCAAACTTTTTATCACACGTACAATCTCCTCCAGATCACAACCTCAGCCTTACCAAAATGTTTTCCAAGCTTTTACAAGTCTCCATCTTTGCGATCATGATCAGCTCCAGTTTGTGTTTCTCGATCGAAAGTTGCAACGTTGGATACAAGTCTGGTACCGATACCAAGCATGGTTGAGTGACTGTTCCGAGCTCTCGTTGTTTCCTGATGGATAAATCATTAGTGTGATAGATTTTGAACTTATTGAGATCTTCTTTGTCCGTCTGTTGTTTGTCATTTCTAGTTTGTCAAGCTTCGCACGGCCAAGGCGCCAAGGCGATCTACTACAATTGCCCTATGAGCGGTTGTAACATCCAGGATCATGGTGAAAGTAAGTTATAGAAGGAAAGCTAGCTCAGGTCAACCAGAACAGAACTGATGATATTCTGTTTTCTTCATAGTATCGCGCTGTACGCCAGACCCCGGCCAGAATGCGCCAGCTATTTCTCCCAGCCGTGTATTGAAGTGTGAAGAATTCTACAGCACGACGCCCGATGGCCAGATACGTACGTTCAAGCACATAATCATCTTCTCTTCCCCCAAAGCTGGATGTAGACGTGCGCCTAGATCATGACACTGATCACGAAGTCTTACCTTGATGGTTGTCCAGATTGTCGATCTCAACACCCGTATCACTTTATCGTCAAGTGTCAAAAATGGAAACCTATCGGTAAGCTTGCGCGAATATCAGTTGTAAACCTCACTCCACCCTAATCTGATTTAACTAACCTAATGTTTCTTTTTGCAATGATGTAGTCTGTGATAACTGTCAATCAACGTAGAGAAGCTTGAAAAGTCCCTTGAAAGAAATGATTTGCTCATCCTATCAATTTTCAAAAGGAATCCCTGCAGTTATTCGATTTGATCCTAAACCTGATTGTGCGACCATAAGCAGTAACCCCTCAAAATCCGCGTGTGAGGACTATATCTCTCTCCAATCTTTCATGCCAGATAAATATGTCTGCGCAGAAGTCTGGCTGTAAATATCATTTGTTAAAAAAATATGCATTGTATACTATCACACCTGTCACCTCATTGCTTAGTGTTGAGACATCGCAAGAGCCACCTTGGAGCTAGATTTGACAATGGGTATTTCTTCCTCTGCCAGAGATTACATTGTCTGAAAACCAAGGCAGACATTACCTGAAACAGATTTTCAATAGATCATGAGTATCATTTTTCAAGATTTTATATATTTGTTACTAGGAGAAGTGGATATTATGAATTTCTGGATCATTATAACGTTACACAGGAACATGTTGAGGTTTTATTATTAGAAAATTTTTTCGTGATCAGATGTTCAATCAAAGATTCCTTCACAAAAGAATTCCAACAGAAAAATTCAAAGTGCTCATTTTTTGGCACATTGTGGTCTTTCCAAGTCAATACAAAACCTGACATAGAATAGCCCTCAGGCTCCAATCAATCCCAGTACTACATTTGCTTACTTTCTTGATCATCTTAACATTTCAAATGAAACACACACCATATGTATAAATTTTGATAATGGCACTGAAGGCTGTTTAACATCCATATTTCCAATCAAGGAGTCTTTCACAAAATGATAAAAAGACTATACTCTTCAAAGAGCTCTTGATTGAGCACACCAAGGTCTTTTGGAGTTGATACAAGATCTAACATGTAATAGCCATCAAGATCCAATGGATCTTAGAACTATACAATTCCCTTACTTTTGTTCCAAGACTGCAAACACACACACATATATATATATATATAGCTTTTTATACTGCTTATAATTTTTTTTTTCATTGCTAGATATTCCAATGAGTCTTGCACACATGAATATGAAAATTCTCCATCCAAAGAGCTCATTTTTGTATTCAAACAACATGAATTTATTCCACAACAGTCTTAAATAAGTGACTTAACATTATTTGAATCTCATCTAACAGCTTTAAACAAGTTCAACTAAATCTTATGATCTAATGAATCTCTAACCCCAACCGGAACCAAAACTTACAAACTCCGCAATTTTTCACAACTTGATCTTTTGGTTTTGATCACTCTAACTCCAAAGACAACAAATCAAGTATGTTTGTACACACACACCATATAAACTTACAATTACGATTTATTTTCTATAGATCTATAAAATAATAAGAAACATCTACCCATACTCCTCCCCCTGCCACAAACACAAACACACACACACACACTTATACCAAAAACATAACAACTAACAAAACAAAAGAATTAAGAAAAATAGAAAGAGAAGACCGACTTCAAGAATTTTATAAAAATAGGTTTCTCTAGTACTAAATTGTTCAAGCAAATTCACCGAACCAAAAAAGAAAAACTAAACCTTCTTCAAAGTGTTTCCAATTCCAACTAAAAGTCTTCTTTTGGTTTCAAGACCCAGACCTTTTCAAACATCTCGAACTCACACTTCCATCCCTCTGACTAAGTTCAATTAACCCATCCAACATACGTGTTCTAACCAATTCACAAAGCCTATCGACACCTTCTTTTCCTTCGAATTCTTTAACACCAGAAGTTTTGATAGGTTCCAAGACTTTTAAAATCAATTTCCCAGGTTCGAATCGATGAGATTTAGATGAATAGATTGTAGAGTATGTTTCACAGATGATTGGGATGATGGGAAGACCTGATTGGAGGGAAAGATGAAAGGCTCCTTTTTTGAAGGGTAGAAGGGTTGGGGTTTGGGCATTTGATCGGGTGCCTTCTGGGAAGATGAAGAGGTTTAACTAAGGTATTTTTGAGAAGCGTTTGGGGTTAGTTTGGAAGAGTATTTGGGCTAGGGATTCGGTTGGACTTACGCCGTGTTTTTTCATATCTAAGCCTACTTGTTTAAAAGTTTCCATAGCTGTTAATCGGTTATGTCGATCAACAAAAACTGCTTTAGATAATGACATACTATTATTTTCGAATGTACAAACCAACGTAAAAATTCAAGATGAGTCAATTTTTCTTGTTCTTTCTATATCTTCTACAAAAAGTTGATCAATCCACTTAACAATTGTCCTAAGAGTGGTACGTATTTGATTTCTTTTTTTGACATGACCACACAAGTTTTAGGAAAAATCCTTCCAAGATAAAAAATATCAATCTAAATGTTCAACCCAAAAAAAAGCACAAACCAGATCAAATACCTCAAACTCAAACCAAAAAAGAAGAAAGAAAACAAGAAAAAACGGGTTTGAATTGAAAAAAAAAAGGTTTGAACTTACCATACTTTGATGATTTCCAACTAATACATTAGATTCACCATTATAACAACCATTTAAATACTCTTCACCTTCAACGATGAATTCCCAACCAATCAAAGGACTAACCAAACCATAAAACGTACGAGCCACAAGCCATTGAATGTTTTTTCTCCAATCCGGATTAACGAGTGAGACGATGATACCCGAAACCACACCCGTAAGAGATCCCACAAACAATCCGAATACGAAGGAAATCATTCGTAAGTAGTAACGTGATCGACTACTGAAAAGACTTGAGGCTAGTAATGAACCTATGATTAAGGAGAGCATGGTAGACGGTTTGGTGGATTTGGAAATCGCTTGAAGGATTAGCTTCGGTATTGTTGATGGAGGTTTCGTGCTTGTTGACATGATTTGAGTGGTGATGATGAGGATTAATGAAATCGTTATTAAACCGGTTATAAGCCAAGGTGGAGCCATGTATTCGGAAAAACAAGGTGTTTCGAGTGGTACTGTTCTTTTTGGTGGTGGATTGCTTGATTTGATTTTGATTTGATCGACTTTTAATTGAAATTGATATTGTCAACGAGTTTGTTAGCTTGAGATGGAACTAAATCGAAATCGTCCTTAATGCTGAGAAACAAAACTTAGAGGCAGACAAATCAAGTTTTTCCCACTGAAAGGAAACACAAGAAATTTTGAAAATAAAATAAAGTCAAACTAAAATCTGTATACGTACAAAGTTCTATGAAAAATAACAATCAACAACAGATGTTCTGTCTATCAAAGAAAACCTCATCCATCACTCCTGGTGGTAGTCTTCACCTGGATACTTCTGAATCTGAAGAAAAGGAGTTAATCACTTCAGGAGGAAAATCGTGTCACTTTTCAATCCGATCTCTTGAATCTGCTTTCACATTCAAAACCTCATCCACACAACTTTCAAATAGGGTGTGAGGTATACCATTTGGAATTTAAACCTTGGCTGCATAACAAACAAACAACCAAAAACCTCAAGGTATCTGGTGAAAATTGAGCATTCATCTTGACCTCAAAGCTGGTATCATTCATCTAAATATTCAAAAGGTAGGAGCTACCTGTATGACCATTTCTTGGTCCTCATCTCATCTTAGTTCTTGGTCCCGCCAGTTGCTATGTGAGTTTCCACAATTCTGAACTTTTTGTAAGTTAAGACCTTTTCCAATGATCCAAGGGAACAAAAGTTGGGCTTTTTTTTGCACAGCAATTATACTTCAATTGCAATGTGATTTTGAAAAGCACTGTGTAATGTTTGTGTCCACATGTTTAGCCAAAGCAGTCTCAACTCATTCTTCATAGCACCATGTAAATATCCATGTAACAGGCCAACATGCACACACAGAGAGTTTTGAAATAAATCTGAAATTATTTTGCTTGGATTTAGATTGAGAGTGTTGTTGAGCACCCTTTGTGAATAGTGATTTATTGATAGGATTTTCCTGTGTTGTCATCTGGAGTCAACTGACTGTCAATGTCACAGTTGATAAGGGGAAGATGTGTCTGTTATGGTACCTCTTTGATGGGTATTCACTGGGTCTAAGGAAAGACCTGTGTATGTGCATGTCAACATGCTACAAGGATATTTACATGATGTAGGCTAAATATTTGTCTGTGCTTTTCTGTTTTAAATATGAATAAAGTTGCTTTTCAATTGTACCAAGAATCACCATCATGTCTGCTGCGGCCAACTTGGCTATACGTTTCTTAGTAAAAAAGGGAGTCTTTTTTCCTTTTGATAAATTCAAAAAATGATACCCCCTTCCTGTTTCTACTAACCCATCACATCTTGCTTTCCAGTTGTTGATCAAGCCTTATTTGTTTGATTTCAATTTTCAAAAACACCATCTTTCTGTTCAACTTGATAAAAATTCATTGATTTTGGGTAATCCAATGTTGAGTTTTGAGCAAGAACATTCACTTTGAAGGTTTGGGTTGAAATTCACAAGCCTTTGACACAGTATCAACTATACTACAAATCAGGGCATTCATGGAACAATGATTAATTAATAAACATAATCAACATTATTACATCACTCTAGAATTACCTCATACACTTAAGCTAAAGCATAACCTGACTGATTTTGAAGTCTTGATTGTCTTTCAACACACACCCTCAATCAAGACAAATGAACAATACCTCCTTGATAAAAGCTTGATGGTACACTCCCACTCCTGTGTAAAGGATATCATCATAATATGATGCTACATTGAGTTCAATGTAGCCTTTCAAGATATCTTAGATGGAATATTGAAAGAAACCAGGTGCCCCTGTAGGTCCAAATGGCATTGTCTGTCTAAGGACCTTGACAAGGGTCTGTATTTCTTAGGATCCCAAGACACATATGAAGGCTCTATCCACCCTCTACAAGATGTCTTTTGTGTGTGCAAGTTGATGTGTCACACCATAATAGATATGGTGATTAGAGGATAAGCAAAACATCAACCGTGTCAGATAAACTAAGAGAAAGAGATGCACTGACACTGACACTTTGTAAGCTGGAACACCATGAAGCATTTGAAGCAGTCCATGATTGGTACAGGATCATACACATTCTCAAGCAGCAGGCACAAAAATAACCTCATTCTTGACTCAAAACCCAAAACAATGGCAGGAAAGGTACAAGGGAATGATTCAACATCTTGATTTAAATCCAACGACTGTCTTGTTTTCACTCTGGTCTATATAATTACCAAACCATCTCATGAATTAATCTATTAATTTAAGAAAACAAGGTATAGAACCAAAAAATCAAAAAATACACAACTTCTTTCAATAATTGATCATAACATTTTCTCTTCATCAATCAACTTCAATCTCAACTCTTTATTACTATAATTCTCAATAAGTTTCTATAATTTAGATTTAGGTAGATTTTCCAATTCTTGTAATTCAAGTTGACTAACCTCCACAATCTTTGAAAGTTTATCAACCGACTCAATAACCCATTGAACCCCAAGATCAGAAACCAACCATTCAACACCAGTTCCAAGTTCTTGAATTCCATCAACCTCACCACGTTTGATTTCATCAAGTGATTTCTTTAATCCAAAAACATGAGAAGTTAATTGAGGACCTAACTTTCCTGCAGATCGAAGTGTAGAAACGGCAATTAAACTTGTACCAATTCTTCCGATCGGACCATTTGAATTGATTGGATCTGATAATAATGCTCCGTAATGTGAATGTAAAATATGAATTGGTAAATCAGGATGAAAACTGGACAGTTTCTGGATAAGTTTCTCATCAAAAGGTGTGTAAATCGATTTCCATAATTGTAATGCTTTTTTGTAATTTCCTTCAATTGAAGTTGGAACACGTCTTTGATTTATAGTCGATAGATTCGAAAGAGTCTCTGGATCATCTTCTTTTAAAGTCGAGTAAAATGATCCAAGTGAATTAATAGCTTTTGCAATCCCGATAAACGAAATCGTTTTTAAATTCGTTTCTCGTATTAATAGTGCCGATTCTTTTAGTGATTCTTGGAAGGAAGATGGGTCTTGTGATTTGGATTTTAGTTGGGTTCGGATGGTTTGCCAGAATGGATGAAATGCATCTGGACAATTCAATGAAACTAATGCTGCTGACTGTATGAAAGATAAAACAAACGGTTTGTTTAGAATCCCTTGATCATGGGTTTTTTTTGAAGAAATCAACAAGACGTAACTGTGAAAATCATCCATGTGTTTGATTTAAGTTTTTGTGATTTTGCAATTTGATCAAGTTCATTTAGATAAGACTTAAATGAATGATTAAAATGTTTTGATTTTGTTAAATTTAATGGAATATCTTTTTTGATTAATTTGGTTAGATTCGCTGATAGTTTTGATGATATATTTGACATCTTTGAAAAATTAATACAAAGTAGTTTTCGTTTGGATAGAGAGATCTTGATCGATGATAATTCGAAGGTTCGTGAATGATGATTTGATCGAGTTCTTTGTGTTTGATGGATTTACTTTGAGAGTTGATTGGGTTGTTCAAGTGAAAAGTTAAAGTTGATTGTTAAACCAACCAACCCCCAATGGCAACATGGCTCTTTTGATATCTTCAAAGTTGATTCCTTATCACTCAATCTCGAACTGATTCTCTTCACATTGGGGTCCCAAAGGGCAACCCCCGCCGAAAGGCGTGTCATGAGCGCGCTTCGAACATCGGGCGGCGCACCCACCTGCTGCAACACTGGTTCAATTGATGCTTGGTACAGAAGTGCCTGTTCAAGAGACCATCAAGCAGGAAAGATTCTCAAGTTTTGTTGCCTGTTTGAACTCCATTGAATCTATTTATCTGATCAATGAAATCTCAAGCTTCAATAAAAAAACTTGATAAGAATTCTTGAATGAAAAAGAAAGATTCACCTATGTAGTATACATCATCAATTTGAACTTGTTTGAACCTTACAACTTTTGTTAAAGTTTTTTCATCATGCTTGTCACATTTACCTCTGATAAGGATTTTTTTACAAGATAACTCCGTGGTATGTGATTCATCAGGATTCGTGCAGGTGCGGCACTACAACCCCGAGTGTTTGTGGGAGGGTCTCAGCCCCATGTATGTTTCACAGTACTCAAAGTGACTATGCACACATGCATATTTTGCAAAACACGCATTCAAAATGTAATTTCTGTAGGGATAATGAAATGTAGAAAAACCTTACGATAAAATCCCCTGCCAAAAGACCACCAAAATAGGTATGTTTTGCATAGTTACTTTGAGTGCTATTGTCTACGATCGGATGCTGCTTGATGCACACACTGACGTTACATAAGTTAGCACTTGATGGTTCCTCCCCAAACCGCAGGGCCTAGGCACTGGTTACAGACACCGTTCCTAACAAAAATGATCAGGTTATGGGCGCGGCACAAAACACCATACCGAGCCTTAAGACTTCAATTCTGTCACCAAAATTGAAGTTGTTGGCAATAATCAGAACAGCCTTTGGAGGTTCTGGGGAGCGGATAAGGTGGAAAACCTTGAGGCTAGAGTTCCTAATCCAGAAGACACACTCATCGATCACAGTCCATTGCCAATGATTTTGGGTTTTGATGGGTATTCAACATTTACATTTGTTTTGATACTTTCAATGTCAATTCTTGCAATTCTATCTGAAAGTCAATGTAAAAGATCACGACTAAACGTCTTTGTGACATCTACCACTTGCATCAATGATGCAATAACAGACTTTCTCAGTTTTGCACCACTTTTGACTGTTTTTAGGTCAGAACTCTTACACTTTTCACTCTCGAACATATTTTCAAAATGAATATATTTTTTGATACGGTCTTTGCTGTTCACACAGTGCGTGCTGTCAATTGAAAGAGAAAGAAAATGAACAAAATAAACGAAGAAGGAGTGATTCCATTAGATCAAGTACAGATCGCCTCTTGAGAGGGAGAATGCGGCTACTGTCCAGAGTAACATAAAGGTATTGACTATGCGCATCTTATGAACTATATTTTTTGAGATTTGCTTTCCTAGAACGTAGTGTTCGTGCTATGAGTACACGAAAAGCACCCTGTAGTTATAGATTGATGATGTCAGCGGCCATGCGAGGAAATAAGCACCAAAATGAAACTTACATGGTCTGACTAAGTTGTCCGGGACTGAAAGAGGACATTGGAAGTAGTGACTTGCTGAAACGGTGTGATCCTTAGTGGTAGTGTTATACCCAACGACATCTTATGAAACGGTCGGGAAAAGGGGCAAAAAATATCGCTTAGCCTTAGCCTTCGATCTCAGAATTCTGCGGCGGTCAACGGATTGAATGAGTATAAAACACTTACCGACTCGAGGGGGCCATTCAGTGATTTTTCCAATGGGGGTTTTCAACTTTTGGATATAGTAAAATGACGTGAGGTGAACTGGCAAGACGTCGACCTTGGCCGGCAACAGGGCAGACGTGCCCATGGTCGAAGAGTATTGAGAGCAATTTCTGAACGTCAAAGCTCCCAAGACCTCTGTTTTGGAAGGGAGAATTCATGGGTGAGCGTGAGGAAAATCGAAAGGAATGACCGAGAGGTTTGCAACGCACTGGCACTGCTTTCGTTTTTAGCCACATGGCAAGAATCTGTCAGGCAATTGTAATGGAATCCCCCAAAATTCTTGACAGCTGATAAATTCAATCAAGAGAAATTGTTCCGTAAGTAACAGATGCTTCGCCCGAAGGTTTGGGGAGATGTCGAGGAGATCAGTAGTGATATTGACACATACCGGCATAGCCCACTTGGAGGTAGTTAGGCATAAAAACCAGTGCAGCCTCAATCGGTGAGCTGGTGTTACTGGCCGCTGTGCTGGTGACGGGTGCTTTTCCCGCGGCCTGAACGTCTAAAAGAGTCCCAATCATGAGAAGTAAACCGAATAAAACCTTGATAGGTGCAAGTCGCGTGTGCAAATCGGATTGAGACGAAGAAGTCATTTGAATAGATTTGACTGGTATGCTTTTTGAAAGGTTGAGTGTTTCAAAAAGGATTGATAGGGTGAAAGAGAAAGTGCCCGAGGGTTTGTAAACGAGTCCGTAGAAATATGAACACAAGTTGAATTGGGGCGGAGAGGGGGGGATTGAAAGAGTTCACAATAAGGATAACATCTGTTTTGAATGGCTTCTAGCATGATTCAGGTCCACCTCCGGCGTCACTATGTCTGGCTCCTTTCGACTCTAAAGACGAGAAACGAAGAAGGCTTGTGTATACACAGCTTTCCCGTGGGTCTTCACCAGACCCTTGCTTCATTGAGAGCTCTGACCAAAGTTGCCGAAATCACTGTCTGAAAATGAAGGGCTCTCTTTGGAAAACAGACTTCATTGCCACATACTTTTACTATGGAGAATGAATATCACTCTTCGGGGTCCCTTCTTGACCATCATCAATGGCAAACAGTTATGTACCACTAACCTTACAGTATGGCGCCTTTTGCAAGATGACTCGATGGAGCGGAGGTAAAGAAGGGTCCGACTCCTCCAATAGGGTCTTGCAATTTTGTAAAGCCCTGGAGATGGTAGTGATCGATCGGTTGGCTTGGCCCAGAGCTTCGATTATTGGATGTTAGGAATTTGGGATATTTACGCAACTTGACATTGGGGGTTTGTCAACGTGCATGAGTGAGTGAAAAATTACTTCGAAAGGGCGCGGCGAACGCGCTCGTGAGGGGCTCAGTTCAAGTTGTGAGGTGACGTTCGGGCTCGGCAGAAAATCGAGCGTCACCGCCCGGCGGCCAGACGATCAGGTCCCCCTCGATTTTCGTTGAGGATTTTTGATCCTTTTCCATATCTTGGTCAGCACTGTTCTTGAAAATAACAAACCAGCCGTGTCAAATTTACTTTCGAGATCAGTCATACTGACTCCATGCAGGTTTCAAACAGCTTTCCTCGATTTCCCCGCCGATTTGCTGAGATTGGGCAAGTTTCTGCAGCAGCCTGGAGCTTGACAATGACTGAACGCAAATGTATTGCATTTTGTGCAGAGACGGTGTTTCGACCCTTAGCTCCTGTGGGGTTTTCTGACAGATTTTTGTGCAAAGGCTATCTCGAGCTCCAGGTGAAACTGGGCCTGGGGAAACCGCAACTTGACATCCTTGCCTCAAATAGAATCATCCGTTGTGCCATCGTGGCACGAATGGCACATCACACGTGGGCCGAGTCCAAGAACCGGCCTACCGAGCGCCAAGCACAGCACGGCTAATGTGGACGTAAGGACTTCTTCATTCGAAAGCGATTGCAATGAACGACGAAACAGACAATTTTTGCTCTCAAGTAGCATCATCACTTGAACAACATTATCACGGCTCTATAACACCAGTGAAGCCAGGCTGAACTGCACTATGTATCCGGATCTGATGCGATCCATCTGCATAAGAAGCGCATCAACATTGGCAGGATAACTTGTTGGCTCGATGCTGAAGGCCGGTTTTTGCTGTGAAGCGACGTTGCGACGCTGATCAACAAGAGCATGTCACGTTGTATACTCCGGAAGAGCTCCAAAGAACAAATTCATGGGATCAGGATGTACATAGGCCAAAAGGACACATACATTGCAGGCTAGACGCAGTATCGGAACGTGTCTCAGCTACGCCGTTATCTGATAAGTCGAAACTCTTCACAAGTATTTAACACAAAATAAGCTAATCTCGTGTGCCACTGACATGATTTGAGTTATAACTTATGCATACATATCTTCGTCTCTCGAAAGTGGCAGCTCTTTCTGTGTCTATTTGTCTCACGTTCAGATTGATAGGGGGGAATCAATCGACTGCCAATTTATAGTCCACCTACTATCTTTACGTGAACACAAGAGAAGGATATCGGTTTTCCAACTTGCTTGAGCCAGGACAATCGAATGAGCCGAAGCGCGAGAGGGGAAGCGCGATAGACTGTGGGTCCCAGACAAGTTACAGCGACTAGCCGTAGAAATCTTCCCCTCTTCAAGATGTAGCTTCTCCACCTTTTACTGGTACCCTATGTTTTCATTCAAGGACCAAGAGTTGACGTAACCAATGCATGCTAAGTAGCATCTTCTTAGAAATCAGCTAGATGTGTCGGAGATTTTTTATTTAGCGCGATCCTCCAGGCGAATCATCGTCCAGAACACATAACTCTCCTTCTCGTTTTTGTTGCACTGCGTTGCACTTAAAAAGTCACCGGAACGGCCCAGATACATTCTTTCTTGCCGTTACCCCTAACAAATCACTGTGATCCGCATCGTCCTCCAATTATCACCTACTTCCAAGCAAACACGGAAAGCAGAGCAACTGTCTTTTCGAAGTTGAACGGGGAAAGCGTATTTCATCAAATCTCCACCCAGACGGCCAAAAACCTTTGATGGTCTCGCTTTGATCAAGAACTTTGGAATGTGTAAATGTGTTCGAGCCGTAGCTCGTACTTACTTCCGCCTCATTTGGTAGAGCCGCCGGCAAGGTCTGACACTCTCGAGCTTAATCTTCGGCCTCAAAGGACACGGCGTCCGGACCATCGCCTCCATAATAGTATACAGCACTTCTCCGCGTCCAAATTCCTCTTGTGCTCTTTCTAAGCGCAAACATCGCATTCTATCTTTTCCACCGACAAGGTTCTTGAAGTCATCGGGATCACTCGTTCGAAAAATACCAACAGACGGGCTCACAAAGGGACATACGCCTTCCATCAAGTTACATAATCTCCTCCATTGCAAAACGTGACCCGCCCTCCTTCAGGGTGATAATAACTCTCAAAGACTCGTTACTCTAGGATTTGGATCATTGAAGACATAAGGAATTTATCTCATCTATTGCAAATATAGCTTTGGCGATAATCTTCAAGTCTATTTTGACGCCCAGCATCTGCTATACATTTCTTCACATCCAATATCTCATCAGAGCTTCATAATCCTCAATTAGCTCAGTGGCCAAATCTCAACCATCTCTGCCGGGGTTCGAGCTTTCAATCTGTGGTATCTGAGCACTGCTGAAAAAATCTTACAATACCGATTCTTAACTCAGGGTGCCCCGAGTTGATCGTTAAAAGCTCTCACTTTGGTCACAGCAGTCTTGTGTCCTTCTTGGGAAAAAACACCTCCAAAAACTCATCAAAAATCACCGGACATTTTTCTCTTTTCAATTGAATCAGCTAACGAGCTTGTTGAAGGGTAAAGGCCCAATATGGCCCAGCAAATCATAAGAGAACGTATTCTGGAGTATCATTCGGACGTTGGGGGTGCTTGGGGAGCAGCATACGCCGTTGGTACGCCTATCTCGTAAGTCTGAAGCCATAAAAACCTAGAATATATTTCCCTTATTCACAAGTACGAGCCACTAAGTCTGAAGCCCTCGTATTGATCTATTACGCAAACATCGGACGTGTGAATAGTGCACTTGTCACAGGAATCTGTGTTGCATTGGCAGTCGAATACTTTCACGGTTTTCCTCGAGATTGCACGAGGATCCGAGCCTCGGTGATTGTTGTGGTAGCCACCACGGTGGTCGGGTTATTTTTATCAATGGATGTATGTTTTTCCGCGCTAAGAACATTTCCACTCTTTGCACTCCTTCATACCTTGAGGTCTCATGATTGAGGCGCTGAGTGAAGTCTTGTACTGACGCATCCACTCCATTTCAATTTGATGCAACTTTTAATAGCTTACTTATCTTCGTTTGGTCGCAAACGAGACCCCTCCAGGAGGTATGATTTCTCCGAGAGACAATATATATCTGGACCTCACAGATCACCAGCCTGATCAAACCCTGCTCGCTTCTGTTGCAGGTTTTGGTGATATTCCATGGCAAGATGATGCAGTGGCTTTAGTTTGCGGGTTTGTGCTTTTTCAACGCATCTGGTCTATTTCACACGTGTCTGATCCAAATTTGTGATTGTGCAGAATCTGCCAGCTCATATGCAGCGCATATTTTGCCTAGTTGAGTCACTCTTAATCGCATAGCCTTGCTAGTTATTCGGAACACTAATCAATAATAAATTGGTTGTTTTCAGCTCTGCTTACTGTGTTGCAGTTCGAAAAAGACTATTGATCCTTTGGTGTGGTATTCTGATGGCAATCATATTTCTCAGCACATTTTTTCGTGCTATAATTGGGCTAGCACCGACCGACTGGTTTGACGGTGCAGTACGCCGGAGTTTCCTGTTTAATTTCTTGCAGCAGACCGTTGAACCTTTTTCAATGACTGTCTCAGGTCCTGTGCCCGAGGATGACCTTCCTCTGGCTAATGTGGGTTCACTTTTCTGTTTTCAATAGCCAGTACGCAGGCTAATAGGGATGTCTCTCTGAGCAGAAGCTCCCTTTTGCTAGATATCGGCATCGCAATGACTATCCTGTCACATTTGCGACGACCTCGTCACAGTCAGCTTCATCAGACTATCTTACCATCACACGGTACCGGGCCCCCTTGTAGAATTGGACTTTCACCTCTTACCCAAACCCTTAATCTTTTGCCAAGCACCGGTCGCCCGTCTGCTCCGCTTTTGAGCCGACTCCTTACTACGATACTCACATCATTTTCTCTCACCGCAATCCTGATGTTCTCTCTGCTTATACTTGTGGTGGCCATGCACGGTACCGAGTTCGACCCCCGCTTTCCTAAAGCCACTGGCATTTTTACCGCTCTTCGACTTCTCACCACACCTACATATGCTGTCACTTTCCTTTACACCCTGAACAGAAGAAAATACAATGTGGCACCAACAGCACCAGCCTTTAGGCGCCCAGAATTAGAAATGCAGCTTCTTTCTTCCTCAGGAGTAGGCAATTGGGTTCGTTGAAATTTTCCTCCTATCTGTATCAGCTTAAAAATACTGAAATGCCCGTATATCAGCCTACGTTCTTTACTACGCTGCCAGCTCCAGGTCAGGATCGAGATATCCGCAGTAAAGCTATAGCATTAGGATGGACAACATGGACATCTCTTCGACGGTATCCTTTCCGTCGCGCTTCCGCCCCGCTACCTCCGCCTATCCATGCCTCAGAGGGTCAACTTGATTCTATATATCACACCAAAAGAGGGCCTTACAATATCCTATACCCAACCGCGCAAGGAGGCATTGTATTTCAATTTTAGTCTCTATATTTGTTTTATTTTACTTTATCTCACATTATTCAATGCTCTTTCTGGAGTTATGTCCATATGTCAGACTCACATGGAGCGATCAGACTTTGATAGTATTTATTGCAGATTTACTGTAACAGTCTTTTTATTATCATAACACATCTCTAATATATATATATATCTCATAGCCTTTTTTCCTGATAATTTCTTGTGGGAATAGAAACTCCGTGTCCACATGTAAAAAACATGTCTTCTGCTTTGAGTCCTCGTCGGTCGAATGTCCAATTCAGACGATTGCATATAGCTTCAATCCATTGTTGTGAGGTCATGTTTGTGATGAGGTTGATGCTTGCACAAAGGAAAAATGCAAAAACAAGTCATACTGCGACAAGGCCAAAACCACTACTAGGAGACACCAGACAGGTTAAACCTGGTGCAGAGAATTGAGAGACAACGTCTGAAAGTCATTGTTTGGCACCTAAAATGACGATCAACGCACACCATGATCAAATGCGAGAAAATGGTCCTGTCATCTCTGGCTGATAACACAGGACAAAACCACTCCAAGGTCGTTGAACACCCTCCGAGGCTACGTTTGAATCTTGCTGAACCCATACCTGCTGCTTGGTGCTCGGTTCAGAATCACAAGGCCAACTTTGGTTTGTGAAGGCCGACAAAATAGAATCGACCCGTCTCTGGACCAGCACTGCCAACTTAAGGGTCGGGTCGTAAATTTACACCCCAAAGTGACGGATGACCGTTTGCTGCTTGGTGCTCGGTTCAGAATCACAAGGCCAACTTTTAGATTAACAGGCACCTCTGATTCTTGTACTCGACTAGATGACTTACTTTTCTGGTGTACTAGTCTCCACTTTGTAATGTTCAGATAGTGTAACATGCAATCAAGCAAATTCGCACTTTAAAAAAAAAAAAAAAAAAAAAGGCCAACTTTGGTTTGTGAAGGCCGACAAAATAGAATCGACCCGTCTCTGGACCAGCACTGCCAACTTAAGGGTCGGGTCGTAAATTTACACCCCAAAGTGACGGATGACCGTTTCCAGAATCCGGCTGAGCTTCGCCTCCGGGCCAAGCTGACCAGGTGAGGGCTTTGGTCGTCAAGGTCTTTAAGAACGCTTCTTAAAACCTCCGCTTGACCAAGCCATGTTGAGCTCAAGGTTGCAGGCACAGAAGCGTTTTAGACGATGGTGATGACCCACGGAACTCGGACACGTGCAGGCTCTCTCTATCGTGGCCATCTTCGTGTCTTTGTCTTTTTCGTGTCGATTCGGATGAGGCAGGCATAGTAGGGACTGGGCGAAGCGCTGCAAAAATCCAATTCAACCGTAGTTGAAATACTATCGCAAGCAATCCAGCCCCTGTGAATCAATATCAAAATTCCCTATTTTTATTAGTCAACTTCAGAGACTAAAAAAAATAGGGTGGCGCATAGCCGGTTGCCATCATCTGATGGGCTCTCCAATCCAAAACTTCCTACTCCTCAGCCAAAAGCCTTAGGCTGACCGCATCAGGATTGCCTGATATACCTTTCACAGATAAGGCTGTGGCCCTGAGCTCTCCGGTGGTGGTGCCCACGGGGAGCCCGAAAAGGAGGCATGAAGAAAAACATACCAGCACCTCATGAAGAACCCCTTGCGAGATAGACGTTGGAACATCCTATAGAAGTTGAGCAAGCAATCGGGTCTGTGGGAATATGGCCTTGGGAATGAACCCGGACTCAGCTTTGTCATCCCAATGAGATTTTGAACGGGGCACTTGGACATGCGAAAGGTCAGTGATATGTTCCTCCTGTTTAAATCTCTTCGGACAACTTCCTTGCTATACTTGCGCTAATAGGGACTGGGCGACGTTTTGACGGACAGAGGATTCCGCCACTCGATTTAGCCCAAGAGTACAATGGAAGTTGTCCGAATTGATTTCAACAGGAGGTATCACAGATAATTTTCCAGCCCCGAATCCCAGTCAAAACCTCTTTGGAACTAAGCTGAGCCCCGGATCAATCCGACTCCTGACTTGCCCCCGGTCAGATTACCAAAGACCCGAATACTGCACCAAGATCGTTGACAAACAAACGGTCAGACTGAGCTGAGCCTCCTCCGCATTTATGTGGTTGTTGACACTGAATCCTTTCATCTTCAATCATCATAGCACACCGACTTCAATATAGAGTCTTGCCTCTACCTTGCACATGTAAGTTCCACTCGAATCATTGTGATACTAGTTTATTGGTTTTTAGTCTGATTGTTTCTTGGCTCATCGTATCTTAGGACTTTTCAGCGCCTATCTCGCAAGGGCTTCAACCGATCTCGCCCCAATGATCCAATGCGAGTCCTTCCTTTATGGCTCGTGGCCAATCTTGCGGTTCGAGCACGTATCGCGCAACAGGCCCTAGAAGATCCATTAAAACGCCGAATCCTGTACGACGGTCATGCTCGCATCAATGTCCTGACATGGACACCTGGGGTCTGTTACATGACCACTCGATTTTGGCCCCCCGAAATTATCTCACTGCACCACCTACTCGCCTTCCCTCAGTCAATTACTCTGGACAACGGCTGCATAGAATCAGGACTCACAGCACTGGCCATGTTGTTAGCCCGACTGGCAGTTCCCAGCCGCCATTTTGATCTAGCGGGTATTTTCGGACGAGAACGTAGCATCATTGGGAGGATTGTAAGGTATGCTCAGGAGTGGGTCAAATCAAACTGGTGCCACTTACTCAAGTGGAATCCACGCCGTCTGAACTCCGCTCGTCTGGAAGAATATGCGCGCTCTTTGGTCATTGCAAAAAATTGTCCAATGGACAACTGCGTTGGGTATATTGATGGTAACGATATGGTCCCTGTCTTTGTGATCTCATGTGTCTTAGTTTACTGATTGGGATCTTTGGTTTTAGGAACGGTTTGGAAGATCTCTAGGCCAAAACATTTACAAGCAAGTTTTTACAACGGGCACAAACGCTGCCATGCATTAAAATTTCAGGCGGTCACTACACCTGAGTATGTGTTGTTATTCTCTTAATTTGTCCCAGTACTGCTAAGCGCAATCATGCTGACTTCATTGAGTGTCCGTTCCGGTTTCAGTGGTTTAACGGTAGACCTCAGCGAAGCGTACGTTGGCTCCCGTCACGATCAGGCCATGCTGAAGGACACCCAAATTGAAGCCATCCTTCGCCGGCACGCCAAGGGTATGAATGGACAGCAAATGCGACTCTACGGTGATAAGGGGTATACCGCGACCGATGTGATCATGACACCTTTCCGCGGTCATGAGGATCGAATGGACTTTCAACAAGTTGTCTTCAATAAGGCCATGTCACGATGTCGTATTGGGGTTGAACATGAGTTTGGAAGGGTGCACAACATATTCAGGCTAACCCAGTATGAAGGCGAGTACCCTGGATTCCAGTCTCTCCCAGCAAGCTTGTATGTAACTAATTGATTTGCATTTCTGGCCACAGATAACCTGCGTTTTTTCTTAAATAACCTCAATGAGTTGTATCATGTGGCAGTATTCTTCAAAAACTGTCTTATATGTCTCGGCCGCGGGCCCGGAAATTCACCCCTTCCACCGCCATCGCTAGCAGAATACCTCGGTCGTATTTAGGAGATAACCCTTGTAATTTGGTCATTGTAAACCGTGACTTTCAAGTCAGGTCCAATGCAATTTGACCTGACTTTGAGAGACCATACGCCCATCTGAAAGAGAGATTTACATTGACTGAGGCTATTAAACTTATTCGATAAAAATGATCACCCTGGCTCCTTTATCACCAAAAACACTCACAGATTCTGTTAATTACCACGTCAATAACTTCAACTCAATGATTGAACCGATCGACATGTCCTTTCGTGTGCGGTTTTGCTGGTTGGATTAAAGTCATCGAGATTCCTTTTCATATTCAGCTCATTCTATACATCACTTGTTCTTTCAGTCATTTGGATGATCAAACAGGCAAATTTTCTTCGGAAAGGTATTTCTGAACACATCGATATCAGCTCCAAGCGGACTCTTGCCATTTTGTTCTTTTGACACCATCAAACTTGATTCAATACGTGAACCACCTTCATCCAAAAGCCTTTCAAATCATATCTCCAGTTGTGTTATCGTTGTTTCAATTACACTACACATACCGACTGTCCTTTGTACTCATGTCTGTTGCAGCTGGTATACTTTGACTGAACTCGTTCAATTATCAAAAGCAAACAAATCGGAATAATGCTGATTTTGATAACTGAGACATCAGTTTTGAGTTTCACATGTCCTGTCGGTCTTTCAGTAAAGCTGTCCAACACTTTCTTTGAAAGTTACTTTGGTCAACCTTTGATCCATCAAGCACCTTAACACATCTGATTGATCCGAGCTCCAAAATCGAACTGAACTTTCAGATCAAAGTGAGCTTTGAGATTTGACATTTGAGAATGTTCTGAGCTTCCAGATTGAACTCGGGATTGAGCTCAATCTGTGCATTTGTGCATTGAGAGCGATCTGACCTTTGAGACCGAACTGTCAAATCAGCTTAGCTCAAGTAGATATCAGGTTTACAAAGCTGCTTCTGGTTGATCATCACGATCCGATCAAATTGGTTGGAGATGTTGGATCGATACGAGAGAACAGGAGAGAACTGCTTGGCCAGGAAACCAATGAATTGTAACTTTTTTTCACAAGTCCCGGGAAGAGAACAGGGTCAAAATAGATGACCCAGTCACAAGGACAACATCTACATAATCGCCGTAGTTTAAGGCAAAAAGGATGGGGGTATGTGATGCTCAGATACCGATGACGCTGAATCAATCAGTGTGATCGACAGAAAAATTACCAAGTGAACAAGGCCACTCTGTAATTGTTCAGGAGTACGATCAACCAGTTTAATTGGCCATGACACAGGGTTTGATTGCTTGGACATGGAGGAGTTCGAGTGGGGATGGAGACACACTCAAGAGGTCATCAGGGACAAATCAGCAGTAGGATTGTCATTGAAATATCCCAATTAGTCTACTTGGCAAATAGCACAGAGAACTTTCTGAGCGAGAAAGGTAGCAAATTAGGAGTAGGATAGGCATTGAATTATCTTGATTAGACAAGTTGACAAATAGCACAGAGAACTTTTTGAGTGAGAAAGGTAGCAAATGACAAATACTATTGATTGGAAGTGGCAGGTGAACCGCCTACAAGATGCTTCATCATCGTAGCCAGTACATCATTCATCGAGGTCATTTGCGCTACAAGGACATCCAATTTTTGGGTAGATGTATTCATCTCAATTGCGCTGATTTTGGATTGAAGTGTGTCTAATGAGTTTTTGGAGGAGTTAACTTGACCTAGATCAAAATCCAAACGCTGTTTCTGTAAAGCAAGTTCAGCCGATCGATGATCAGCTAGGGACTGAGCTATGAGGCGATCATTTTCGTTTCGTTCGTGAGCAATGACAAGTTCGCGCTCGTAAAGGTCGTTGATGCGTGTGTTTTGTTCAGCCTGAGCAGCTAAAGACACCTCGTTCCACCTACTAAGCTCGCCAGTGAAAGCCGTCAATTCATCCGTGCTCGCATTTGCATTGGATGGACTCGATCGTTTCGCTTTTCTTGAGGCACTGGGAGTTGTGTGACCTTCGTCTCCATCGCTAACAGAGGCTCTGAGGTTTTGGACGGCCTTGGTTGCAAATTCTTCCCGAACAGCCTCCGCAAGGAGAGAGCGGCCTTTAACCGCCTCGCGTTCCTCCTTACAAGCCAATTTAAGAGAACGGCCGGCCTATGTTTTCCGCAATAGAACGAGAGTAACTATATAATAGTCAGAAAGCTAGAGAGTGATAGAGTGATAGAGTGAAATAGATAAAAAGAAAACTTACTTCCTCCTCGTCCTGAACTGAGCGTATCAAATTGCGCAACTCTTCATCCTCCTCTTCAGTCCCACTGTCCATCTTGCTCCAGCTTTCGGCAGCTGCAAGCCAAAGCTTGAGCTGAGTGTATCAGAATTGAAGCACTCGACTGTGGGGACTTTCGGAAAGCTCGGCAAACTCCCGATGGGTTTCTAGATCAGTCTTGAAAACAGTAAAAAGATCAATAAGGGTGTGAACTACACAGTAACGAGATTTTGACTTACTTTTAGCCAGATGGCGCATTCATGAAAAACTTTACCCTTCTGCCCATTCGACCCAAATGGGCTAAGAGCTTCCAAAGCACGCATGAAAAGCAAATCCAAACGGTCAGGTCGTGCTTTTAGGAACTTAAAAGCAGGACCAGATCCGCCTGGAGCCGGAGTCTCATCTTTCACCGAGCGTTTGCGACCAGATCGGGGAGCTGAGGGTCGTCCAGAAGGAGTTACAATGGATGTGTCAAGAACATCGGGCTCAGATGCCGCTCGGTCCAAATCCTTCTCCGCCTCATCCAAAGCTTGCTCGTAATACCCCAGAATGGTGCGATCGAGGATGTTGACATGCCTTCGCCACTCGTACAGCGCGTGCACCGGCATCGCCCAGAAGTTGGGACACTGAGCCACTTCAGATATGTTGGTCATCTTGGTTACCGCACCATTGCTAGTAGAAGCCAAAGAGGTGGAAAACCTAGATATTGGATTGTCCAAACAAACATCAGTACACAGTGATAAGAGAAAAAACAACATAGATTACTAACCCAATACTCGGATTAAGACTATTCAAGCCGGAGGGCCATCATTTGAAAGAAATTGATCACAGAAGATAGTCAGAAAGTTTACTCGTTTAAAGGAAATAGATTGAAGAATGTACGGGGAATAGACTTGATTGGGCCCATCAAGTGGTACTGTTCCGGTACTTGTTTGAGACCTAGACAAACATGATGCACAACATTTAAAAGGAATGGTATGATAGTCAGAGAGAATCAACATCAAAGGAAAAGCCATAGAGAATGGAATGGAAGGCAGTGCTTACGTTGCAACTCGCTTGTTAACATGTTGTACTGGACTGCTGGGTGCCGGTCTTTTCAAACTAGATCTCACCGACTTGAGTGATGAAACTGGGCCCGTTTGGGTACCAGGGCTTGCTGGATGATCAGGAACGGCGGGGATCTTGGCTGGTACTCGAGCTGGCAGACACCATCCGTTTTCCTCGACCTCACGCACCGTATAGAACTCGCCTGGAGCTACTTGAACCACTGGCCAGGGAAAAGGTAACACATCGGTCAGCTGGGAAGCCCGTAAGACAGTATAGGACGGAAACATGAAACTCACAATTGTCTGGGGGATGACGCGAACCCAAATGCATTGGTGAATTTGACACTGACCCCTGCCACGGCTATGGGAAAGTCAGCTGAATTATTGCAATGGTAAAACTGATCGAATTCCACAAATCAACTCACTCTACCATCAATTGCACTGAAACTCCCGCCCATTTCGCCGATATATCCATTGCATCTCGATTCTTGGTGATTCATTATGAAATATTGAAAGAAAAAGATACTTTGAGTGATCAAATAAGAAGTTAACTTGTATTAAATCAAAAATAAGATAAGGTATCCAATATAAAATTGAGTCAAGGCCTTATCTGAAAAAAAGGACGGTGGTTAACTTGGAAGACATCCATCCTCGGTCTCAAGCTGGCCTGTCTTATACCCGAAAAAACATTAGTTTGGCAGTCACAACCTAGAGAGACCAAACAGAAAGGCTCACCTAAGAGGATGCCCACACGCATGGGCCTGTGTGTGGCTGATGCAGAAGCCAAGCGGGATCAAGAGGAAGGAGACATCCATCGTAAACCAAACGAGTTGTGCCGGATGAGGACCAAGAGCCAAAGGAACACATCCTGATCCGGCTCCCCGGTGGGCACACCCACGGGATTCCCCGGTGCCACAGGTCAGTCTGTGAAAGGTATATAAGCCTATCTGGGAGGCTATCCCGAAGCGTTTGCCAGGGGCTTTTGGCTGGGCAGGGGAGGAAATTTTGAACAGAGAGCTCATCAGATGGTTGGATGCCACTGTGCGCCACCCTATTTTTTTTAGTGCCAAAAAGTTGACTAATAAAAATTGGGAAATTTGATATTGACTGAACAGCGGCTGAACTGCTGAGAAGAATATTTCAACTACCGTTGAATTGCAACTTTGCAGAGCGTCGCCCAGTCCCTAATTCAGGTGGCAAAATCCTGTGCTCGTCCGTGTTGAAGCCTATATGTGTGTTACAGTCCTAGACTACAATCCTGTATACGTAGTAGCATATCCTTGTAGCGGGGTTAGGTTAGATCACTTATATAGCCTCGCTCCACCCGGTTCTTTCCTTTCTTCACTATCGAAGATTGGATTAGTTCTCGGACCGGGTGAAGCGACGAGCGCTGACCTTTAGCTTTAACAGGTTACACTGCGAAGATAATGTAGTTTTCCAAGGTGAAAAATAATTAAATTTTACCCCAAAATGATTGATAAATTCAATTCTTTTTCATCTTGAGAAAACATACTTGCAAAAGAATTGTTTATCTTGATAATTCCAACAGGCTGATAGACAGGCCATTTAAGAGGAAATTTATAACCACGTTTTGAACTGCTAAACAAACACATCTCGTAAGGTGTATTCTATACTGTGATATGTCCACTCATTTGAACATAGTGCCCGATTCCATCCCAGATAAAGCAATTTATATGTGTTACTCAGAGCTGAAAACACAGAGATGTTTTCTGTCCAATCTCCGTTGATACTCTCCCATCATGATCAACTATCTCACTCACGTATCTACTTTCTCTAGTGCAATATCTGTCTTTTCAAATTTTGTTTAGCATTCCACACTACAATTCAAGTAAAAGCTACAGTTACACAAGAGACAGAGATAAGATTGAAATCAGGTTGAATAATCACTAGAGCATGTATTGTTCCAAAAACTGTACTCGAGATTTCAAGTCAAAAATCTCCTTGCGACAGTCACATTTGTAGAGCTCGGTGCTCTCTGGTAATGGATCAGTCGAATCCGGAGCTTCGAGCACAATCACGGCATCATATGTCAGTCACACGAACATGGTCACATTTCAATTCAGAATGACTACATACCAATGTAAGCCTTCTGTTTGGAAGAAGACGATTCACCCTTTGGTCCTTTGTTAACCACAGTGTCTTCGGCGGCGGTCACGAGGCGTTTAGAATCAGAGGCCACGAGTGAATCCTTTCCTTTGGATACAGACCGATCGTCGCACTCAACGTCGGACGAAGAGTCGGAAGATCCTAGCGGAGTGAGCGAGCTGGTATCGCTGCCCGGGGATGAGCCAGGGCGCGAAAAACGGACATGTTGACGAGGACGAGAAGGTCCAAGCGTGCTGACATGCGCGGGTAGGTAAGGCTTAGATGGTTTCGGGTTTCGTGTGATAGAATCTCTTTTCGGAGCCGAAGCACTGGACTTTTTTGGGGGTTGTGTTGGCTCTTTTTTTGATCTCTTGGGAGAGAGGCGAATATTCTCCTTTTCTGCTGGAGGATTGGCAGAGTTGAGAGCATTGCATGAGCTAGATGAGCTAGATGATGCGGGGGTTAATCTGATCCGAACTCACCAGACTCTTGTTCCGTGTCTGAAAACGCCTCATCTGAATCTCGTTTATGACGAGAAGAAGTTTGACTAGATCTCGAACCTAACTTCATTTGAACTGACGATCCAGGAAAGGTGCTGTTCGTGGGAGATGGGCTTAAAGGTTGTTTGACCGCTACGAGTTGATTCGGTTTCTGGGCGATCGAATTCTTGGTGGCTGGCTTGTTTTTTGGAATTGCAGCTGCTTTTTTTCTCGGAATTGGAGCCGGCTTCGCTTTCGGAGTTGGAGCTGCAAGAGATCCGTGTTTTTCGGGAAGAGCTCCACCCTTCTGATTCTTGCTAGATACGCTTCGAGCAGAGCTTTTGAGACTTTTGCGGTCCCCAGTATCTGCAAGTAGGAGAATCTCGGAGTCGAGGTCTGAAGGTGAAAGCGCGGGGGGGTTTGAGTCATTCACAGTCGAGCTAGATTCTGAAGCGCGGGGGTTCTGAGTGACCCTCGTTGAATTGGTTTTCTTCGGCTTGTCTGTAAAACCATACAATGTCAGTATTATGTGACGTATCAATATTATAAAGGTCTACAGTCTTATGATTTATAGCGAAACACACCTGTATACTTGCCCCCCTCAGGGAAATTATGGTTGATAACAGGCTTGATGTCAGTATCATTTCGACCGGCTCTTTGAGAGCGCTTCGCTGCTTCAGCCAGCGTGTATGCGTGTAATACCATAAAATGTCAGTGTCGGGCGACGGATCAATAGTATAAATGTCTACAGTCTTATGATTTATAACCAAACCCACCTGTATGCTTGCTCCCCTCAGGGAAATCATGGTTGATAACAGGCTTGATGTCGGTATCATTTCGATCGGTTCTTTGAGAGCGTTTTGCTGCTTCAGCCTGCGTGTCTGCGCGAGAGTCAAGTTCAAAGAAGCAAAATCGTGTTTGGGGAATTGATTTCAGACAAAGTGATCTTGAAACAACAACTATTCTTGATAAAATTAACAAGACCTACGAAAGTTGATCCACTTCTGGGCCAATTGTTGTAGTCCCGCTTTCGACGTTCGAGGCGGAGCTTCCGGTACGAGTGGAAATTCATAGCGCAAGAAGTTCCTTATTTCTTCGGCGGTGACTTCGATGTCGTAAGGGTTGAATGGTTGCATAGCTGAAGATGGAAGCAGAATTCGAAAGCTTTGAAAAGTTATAACAAGATATAGAAAGGATAGAGTGATATTGGAATTCAGCCGAGAAATGGATAGAATTTGCGAAATAGAAATTATCAACTTCTCGATGAAAGTGTTGATTATAAGCGTAGAAGACACACTCTTGACCAGCAGCCTACTCATGATGCCGGTTGAAAGGGCTATCCAACCCCAGGTATAAGGAATATTCAGGAAAGAAAGAGGTACGAGTCCCTTTCGACTATCCTGTGTAGACCAAACATTGCGTGACTCTGGCTGAGTCCGGCAAAGTTTGTACGTACATACACCGGGCAAAACCCACGAAAGCCCACAAACATGTGTCAAGACTCCGAAGACACAAGGTTTGGTGGGTCTTCCAGATCACGGACACCAACCGAATCACCAGTGGTCCGCCGTTTACATTCAATTCATGGCTGCTCATGAGCATTTCTTACAGACACAAGAAAAGAAACAACCGTATTCCAACGTTTTGCAGCCGGCCGTCCCCTTTCTAGGAACACCCATAACATTAAACGTATGGTGATATTGAGCGAGTGAGTCTTGTTTGTTTTTAAGAAGATACCCCCACCTCTGTAGATCGAACGTTTATTCTTGTTTGTTTGACAGAAACCGAACTTCAAGCTGTTGGAATCACCACTCAATGTTTACATCAAAGGAGAATTGGGGTGGGAAAGCATCAAAGGATGACCTACGATCGCCTTACAAGCACAGTGCACACCCTCCACTACTTTGAAGGACAGATCTCGAGATGAAAGGTCTTTCAAAAAGCCTGTGCCATCTGGATTTGTCGTTCGATGGTATAGGTACGTGTAGATGTGTTATACTCCTCTTCCTCCGTCACCAAGTTTTTCTCTTTCGTTTTTCGTCTTTTCTTGATCTGCTCGCTGCGTGCGCTTGCGTTATCCTGGTGATTTTTGATTGATTATCTCAACACACTACGGGCTGGTTTCCGTGATACACTTTCTTGCGATTCATTTTTTCTGAACTCTACGAGCCGGCATTCGTGATACCTGTTTCTATTTCACTTTTCAGCTTCTTTATCTCCTTCGTTCTCATACCCGGCGTCTGTGATATCGGGTCGTCTTTCACTGTTCGGTTTCTTTGTCTTTCACTTTTTGGTTGCTCCAATTTCCTCAAGCCGGCATCCGTGATACCGGTTCCTTTTTCACTTTGAAGTTTTCTTTGTTCTCATACCCGGCGTCTGGGATATCGGGTGGTCTTTCACTTTTCGGTTTCTTCAATGTCCTCAACCCGGCATCCGTGATACCAGTTTCGTGGTCATATTCTGTTTCTTAAAGGATGGCTCCTCAACGAAAACGTCGAGTAACCAAAAACGACCTGGGTGATGAAGGTGAGTAGGGCATTTTAGCTTTTGTTCGAAGGTCGCAGGGGCACTGATACAAGTCCTTCATTGGTAGATCGTGTGGTCACGAAATCAAGGGTAGATGTTAGAGAGACCCGAGGTATGGCAGCCAGTAGGATTCGAGATACAGAACCTGCTGCTGCTTCGAACAGCAATCCAACCCGACCTCGAGACAAAAGATTAGAGGAACGGTCTGCAGCAAGAGAAAAAAATCTGGGTGATGAAGGTCAGTAGAATTTTTTAGCTGTGGTACATAGGTTACAAGATCCAACCTGCTGATGCAAGTCTTTCGTTGATAGATCGTGCAGGCACGAAATCAAAGGTCGACGGTAGACCAACCCGAAAAGCGTCAGCCCGCAGAATTCAAGATGAAGAACCCGCTGCTGCTTCGACCAGTAATTCGCACCAACCTCATGAAGAGCCGGATTCTCTAGTTACAACACAAAACCCGGGCCATGAAGGTTAGTACGATATTTCAGCTGTTGTACATAGCTCGCAAGATCAATCCTTCTGACACAATTTTCCTTCATTGATAGATCGTGTGGTCACGAAATCAAGGACGCATAGTAGACCGACCCAAGGAACGGCACCCGACGGTACTCGAGACAAACGGACTCGAGCAGAAGAGGCCGTAGAGGAGGGGTCTTTGGGTAGAGTCGATTATGAAAGCTTGTCCACGGAAGACTTCGACTCAAGATCATGCCCTTCAAAATCATCGGCTCAGGTGGAATGAAAAGGATGAGCTTTTGCAGCTGTGTCATCTTTTTTGCCCAGACAAACTCCGGGTAAGTAGT